ACCAAAAGTCAGTCAATATCCATAGACTCCAGTGTTAAAATGAACAACTTTACAACAGAAATAAACATGTTTACAGCCTGGTGCAACGGTTTTAGTCTGTATCAGTAATTTCCCTCTGTACGGGAGTGACTTTTATGTAAATCACCCGTTTACATTTTATTAAGGCTTAAAATTATGCATAATTGAGGGCATGCTACTTTGAGTTGACTTTGACGGACACGCCACATCTTTGCCCATTTTTTAATTTAAAAATAGGCAGAGTCAAGCACTGACATTCATGACAAGTGTTTTTATCATTTATTAATTAAAAGCATTGGCAGTTAATTTGATATTTTAATTGAAAAAGATTAGGCTACAATAATTTGCAGTCTTTGTAGTAGTGTGTGCACATTCAACTGTGTGTGTGTGTGTGTGTGTGTGTGTGTGTGTGTGTGTGTGTGTGTGTGTGTGTGTGTGTGTGTGTGATTAATGCTGCAGGCCAGATTAGGGCAAAGATATGAGCACAGGCCATGCCACAACACCTACAAATTTGCAGTTTATGGTGCCTTCAGGTTCTGTTTATTCTCAAGTCTCCTCTTCATCACTCTGTGTGGTTTCATCATGACACTCTCCCGCTCCTCTTTTCTCATCAAACAGTTTGTCCAATCAGTGTCCAATCAGTTCACTTTTAATGACATTATCACTCATACTTGTGCACACAAACTCGTTGTTACAATGAAATGGATCTCCAAGATGTATATTCAAATCATAACAAACCAAAGCTATTGTACAACTAAAGACAGGATGACCCACATCTTGCTCACACAGACAAAATGTGTCTCAAGTGGAATGTGTTGGTTGATATGAACCTACTGTATAACCAATACAAACCCATGATCTAATAATACTGCACAGGTTGTTCTGACATAATGGAAACCAAACAAAAAATTTGTGCAATGTATGTATATTGGTAGACTGCTGCTAATCCACTGTGCACTGTTATATTACATTTTATGTGAGGCACCAATGTCATCAAGACATTGTTTGGATTTGAGACAAAACCTGATTTGAAAAATTCCTGTCACATGAAGGAAATAGGTTTTGCTAGGTTGCAATGCTTGAAGGTTTAGCATACACTAAAATCAGAGTCAAGGCTGCATGCTTAAACTTTAGTACACACTATGTTGATGCTATGCTTTTATTTCAGCACTTTATAGAGCTATAGTAGGTTAAATCCTAACAGTGCTAACACAGAGATATATTCAGAGACAGTATTTGCTCTATGCTGACTCTTTTGACACACTACATTGGCAGAAAATAGACTATAATATTTTTGTTGGCTTGAAAAACAATAGATACCATGCTAACACTTTAGCAAACGCTATGTTAAGATGTAGTTGGCTATTTGGTAATACTTTAGCATGCTATGTTGAGAGCCCATAAACACCATCATAATACCTTTGCCTATACTACTAGACTAACACAAAGAAGACTCCATGTTAAAGACACCATGCTAACACTTTAGCATTAGCTTTGAGAAACAGTAAACTCTATGCTAACATTTTGAAAACACAACAGACAATAGACTCCATGCAAACACTTAAGCTATCACTGTTCATCATCATCATCATCATCATCACCATCATAATCATCATCATCATCATCATCATCATCATCATCATATTAACATTTTTATATACACTATTCTGAGTGATAAGCTTAATTTAAAATGACTTAGCATTTAGCTTTAACACTGTTTTTTTCCTCATTTTCTCTGCATCACAATTCCTCTTTCACATCTTAAGCTGCATGTTAAAGGATGTTGTTTTATAATAATACCTAAAAGAAATTCATACTTTACTCACCATTTTACTTTCAGTGCACTGTCATATTTATTCTAACATGCACACAAATAAAGTAATCTTGAGAGGAGATGACTGGTTTACACTGAAAGCTAAGTGAGAGGAGAGAAATCAGCTGTGGGAGGAGAGGGAGAAAAAACAACACTGGCAGAATGAAAAGACTCCTGCAAATGTTTGTACAGGCAAGTATGGTGATAGGGACTGTGATGAAATGTAAGAAAAAAATGTTTTCACTGGATCAGATGAGACTTGGTAACTTCTTGAGTAGTTTTGGTGACATTTTCCCACCCCATACTTATTGTGAATGCTGCTTGTTTAAGTGGATAATCAAGTACTCTTTACAAGAATACACCCCTGACTTTGCAATATGGTGATCTCATGCTCACTGCATCTGGCCTGATTTCAATGGAGCAAGTTGAAGTCTCTCAGCACACCATGTTTTCTACATCAGCCCCGTTCTTGAGCTTGTGACAGTCAATAATACACATCAACCTCAGGGTTAAATTTTTGTAACCAGTGTGTTGTGTGTGTTGTATTGAGGTTTTATCATATCAGTTCTACCTAAACTATCCACCTTCTATTCATGCATACGTAACACCAATCATACACAGCTTTCCTCCTTCACCACTCTTAGGTATGTTAGTGGGCAGCATGGCAAGATGAAAAATGACAGCCTGTTTGACTTAAATATGCAGAAGCAACCAGATAGTACTCAAATGGCACATTTTCATCAACACACATTAAAAAAAACAATCTATCCAGACATCTATATGTGTAGGTCATGCTGCAGTTCCCACTAGATAATAAAGTCAGCTTGAGTGAATTGAGAACACACACACCCAGAATACATAGAGTGCAGAAGTGGGAAGAGCAAAACTGGACCAACTGTTTTCATTCAAACACTAGACACAGCCAGTCATACTCAAGCATCACATCAGCAGCGGGTGGGGGGGTGGGGGGTGGACAAAACGAGGAGCAGCACAACCAAAAAGTGGGCAACACTGACCCCCAGTGGAAGAAAAGTAAGTTGTCATGTCAAGTCAATAAGAATTTATTTAGCACAATTATCACCTCTCACTCACACTGACTCATGATCTAATCATATGCATGAAAATTAATATTTGCATTTCTCCCAGGAGCTTTAAACCATGGTATGATGTTTATAATAGATATGTGATTATACACTTCACTTTTTAATGGAGCAAATTGGTCCAGAAAACTGAATGAAGCCAGAAAAAAATTGCCGATTTGGACTGAACTCTGTCTATATCAGATTTACAATACAATGACACAACTATCTAAACTGAATATAACTTGAATTAGTATTTTCTTCAAATATTATTTTTGGGCATGAGATTTGATATCCATTTTAACTATTTGTGAATGGATATAATACCCTGCACTGTGGGATCTGACATCCATTACAGTTTTGACATACATTATAAACTATTTATAAATGATTACTACAAATATGGAGTCAGAATATAAAGTACTGCAAGTACATGAGTCACTTCTTTTTTCAAAAGTTTTGGCTTGATATTTGCAGAGATGGAGTGATACTGCCCCCTGTTGACAGCATATCTGAACTACTACTTGTATTATAAAAAAAAAAATTACTTTTAATCATCTTGCATGCTATGTTTCTACAATATGATGGTTTTGCTTTTGGGTGTGTCACAAAAAATATAAATAATGGATGATTTGTAATTCATGTTAAAAATGTGGGTTTTCAATATGGAAATATTTATATGTTCCATTGCCTCTTATGTTTAAAATTTCTATGTAGGCAACTGACTTTGTGTGTGAATTTAAGGGACACTTGCTGTTGCCTGTATTATCACATTTGGTATGGTTTTCATTCTATCACTATAATAATCCTACAGACTTGTAATTAATTTGTAAGAGTGACATTGTAGGCTGTATAACTATACATTTTGTCGTTATGGGCTCATTTTAACACTACATAACCACATTTCTAGTATTTGTAATCCAAAAGAAGAGTGCATTCACTTAAAACATACAGTGGATTAGTATCAAAAGGCTGCTCCAGGTGAGGCTCGAACTCACAACCTCGGCATTGCTCTACAGTGTACTGTCATATAAGTACCGCGCGCTAACCGATTGCGCCACTGGAGCTCACTGTTTCTGAGCCGTAGTTGGGTTTATAAGCATAACACAGCTTGACACCGGTGTAAATGTTGTGTCCTTTTTTTAATTGTGTAACGCTGCTGCATTAGTTCCATGTAGACGTTTCCCTTTCAGATCAAACTACAACAACAAAGTGGTGGACTCATTGAAAATGAAATCAAAAGTATTTTTATTAGTATTGTGTTATGTATCAAACACGTAAACAGGGTTACCGGTCAGAAACATTGAACATATGTGATACGAGCAGTGCCTTAGTAGACCCAATTTTCGATTTCACTTCACTTCAATTTTATTTCGGTCCTTGTTAATATTCTTACATAAGTAAATATAGCTTATTACAAATACCCTCTCCACATAACGTTAAATAAAACGGCAACCCTCTCACTACAGTCCAATGTATGGTCAGCAAAATAGGAGCGAAAATAAAACAGACTGAAACTTTGATTTACGATGATTATATGTCATTAGTTGCTTGTCGTGTCGTGTCGTGTCGTGTCGTGTCGTCTCTCCTATAGTGATGGGTCAGTGATGTCATGCCTGTAGTAGCTACTGTGACGCACGGGGAAGTAGTTACACACAGTCAACAATTTCAAAGTAGAAAAAATCTCAAAGACACAGCAGATAATCCACCATGGTCATGCTTGAAGTAAGATGATGATAAATTAGTCACTGAAATATTATTTGTTGAAGATATATCATTTTATTGAAAATACATTTTAGTGTTCTTGAATGTCACTGTTGTTTTCTAAAGTCTATCTATCTATCTATTTATCTATCTATCATTGGTCCATTTCAAACATTTTGCATATTCATTGTACAGACTGTCCTACCTTAAGTACCATGTTTGATGTATAATGTATTGTTTTCATCAGTGTCGGCTTTCATTTTATAGTAATGGTATACATTCATACACAGGACACAATCAGGAAGTGAGCATGTATACATGTTATATGTATGTATATATATATATATATATATATAAAATACATCAAATAATAAACAAATAATGAAAAGAAATTGCATAGTCACCATAGTTTTAAAGCTTAAACACAAGTAGACATTCTGTGCAAAGAAATAGATGCAGTGAATACCAACAAATGACTACACACACTCACAGGCGTCTGAAAACCTGGAGCCCACTTGTGGGGGCCGACAGCTCTGTGGGGACTAAAATGCTGAACCTTACAAGTTTAAATGGCTTCTTTCAGGGCTAAGACTTGAGTTTAAGATTGCAATTAGGTTTAGGTTACTGTTGGGGTTAGACAATTACAGTATTAGTGAGGGGATGCATTATGTCAAAGAGTATCCTTACAACTATTGTAAGAGCGACATGTTTAGGCCTATATACATAGATATACAGTATATTATAATATAAAATGTTGTGTTTGCCTTTAGCTGTTACTGGCTGTGCTATTGGCTGGCCTGACATTCTTCTTCACAAAGCTCAGGTGGCTGATGGAGCTCTTGAGGGCATCATGAAACATGGAGCTGGAGAAACAGTAGATGACAGGGTCCAAAGAGCTGTTGAGGTAGGTGAAGGGAATGCTCATCATAAAGAACTTGATGATCAGATTGTAGGATGCACAGTCGTCCGGGTAGAACTGCTTGATGTACATCCCCCTCAGACCTGTGATGACACCTGGCATGAAGCAGATAGTGAACACCAAACTGATCACTACTACCGCTCTGGTGGCCTTCCACACCATCTTCCGCCTGTATATCCACCGTTGGTGCAGGGAGCAGGCTATACGAGCTGAGCAGAACAGCAACAAGAACCACGGCAGGAAGAACTCTGTAATGAAGACCCCATAGTGTACCTTTATCGCCGAAGGGGTTCTCTTATAGGAGTTGAAGCTGCGACACAGGGAGACGTTGCCATCCTGGTAGAGGAGATTGGTGGTCAACAGCGGAATCCGAAGGGCAATTACAACAGTCCACAACAGGCCTACGAGCCAGCCCGCCTGAGTTAAAGTCATACGGCTGATGCGGTGATGTGGATGGACCACTTTAAAGTAGCGATCCACTGTCACAGCTGTCATGAATGCAATACTGGCAGAGCGATTGACCGCCAGCATGAAGAGGTTGATGCGGCACCAGTACTGTCCAAACACCCAGTAATCCCCTCGCAGGCTTGTGTCGATGCGGAAGGGCACGCTGATGATAAGCAGGAAGTCAGCTATAACCATGTTAAAAAGGAAAAGAGCATGGGGTTTCCAGAACTTCATGCGGAAACAGAAAATCCACATGGCTACTGTGTTTCCTGGCAGGCCCACAATCATCTCAATGATCATGACAAATTGCAAGAACAAAGATCCATGATTTTGGGGGGTTTGGCAGTGCATGATAATGTTAGTTTCATTTATTGCCTCAGGAGTACAGTTCACCAAAGCCATTTCAGCTGTGAATGTGGTTGGATCTCTCCAACTTTTCAACTGCTTCTTATTTTCAGCAGCTCTTATGTTCCCGAAATTTCCAAAGAGGAGGGAAGAAGAGAGAAAAGTGTTTTAGACCTCAGTATTTCATGGATCAAATAGATAAAGCAAAAACACGTATTCTTGAAGACTTAATCTTGAACTACTGCTGCTTGGATTGTACCACATTTGTACATTGCTTTGGGCAAAAACATCTTTCATAATAAACGTTAAAGTAAATACACTATTCACTTTCTTGCAGAGAGTAACATGATAAGTTAATACCACTCTCATGTCTTTATGGTTGACAGGAAGGTACAGCCAGCAGCTAGTTAGTCAGCTAGCTTAGCTCTGTACAAAGATAACACAATCCACCTACCAGCACAACTATGATTCATTAAATGTGTAAAACTCTGTGCTTATCAATTTATATCTTCCAATACATTGTTTAGTTCAACTTTCTTCATATTGTATTCTTAGTAATGAGATACACCAGTAATAGTAAACGCTGTCATGCAAGCTATCAGTCTTTATACAGAATACAGATCAAGTTTAAATATCTGTACTCACCAGCAGTCAACACTGAACTCTTTCATTCCCTCAACAAGACCCAACAATCTTCATTTTCAGAGGAGTTGTTTCAGCAGCGCTTTCAGCAGATGTGGACAACCCCTTATATAGAGGAAGTGATTCAGTAACACAAAAGGGTTGAAGCATGCCCTAAATAAAATCAAGTTCCTCCAGTGAGCTAGTCATAACATGAGGGTTATATTGGTTCCAGTGAAAAGAGGCTGATGAGAAAATGACTGCTGGTATGAGAGATAAGTTCTTGTGGGTGGTGATGATGAAAATACACATCCATACACTTGCATGAATACTTTGATTTATGTTTACTTTATGTTTACAGAGTATAAATATTGAATAACAGAATCCTCTGTGCCTTTTGGTTTATAATTCATATCCTCATCGCACATTTCACTTAAATGATACATTTGTATCTACTGTACAATATGTGTTAATATTATACAGTGATTCAGTACTTGTATGTACATAGGTGTAAATCTATTGATACACTGTAGTAGCTACTGCCAATCGCACACTTTCATTGCAGTAATTTGTGCTACTATGCGTCGTTTAAATACCTGCATATATTTTGTAAAATGTTCTATATTAACTTTGTGCTATTATGATGTATTCTGGTCCTTGTCTGTGTCAAACAATTTCATCTCACCTATTAAACTTCATCTAACAGTAGGTGTCATTTTGCAAAATATGAACTGATTTCATTACATTTTTCTTCGTCATGAATTATCTCATTTCATTCGAATTAATTTTGCCTTAGACTAACTGTATTTAACCCCTGATATCATCTCGATCTTTTGATTTAATCTAATTTCATTTCATTTAGATTCACCTTACTTCACCTTACCTCACCTCATCACAGTGTATTTCACCTTGATTTATATCAGCAGCACGTCAGCTCTTCTACAATATCTCATCTCATCCCGTTTCATCTCACCTTGGCTTATCACACCATGTGATGGCTGCACCAGCAGCCACACATTGAACAGAGGAACGGTGGTAACTCTTTTGATTTGTTTATTTACTTAAAGAGTCTTTCTTTCTTAGTGTGACACTTAAAATTCACATATAAAAACATAAATAATTGCACACAGGTTTTGGTTTGATAAAACATACAGTTTTATTAGCAAAATTTGACAGTATAGTTATCTATTTGAAGTGCACACATTTAGTTAGCGATATAAGTTTCATACATTTAAGTTGTTTTTCATGAAATTAATTAAGCTTTCTTTGACTTACCAGTTCCTGGGGTTTGCTGCTGGAGTTGGAAATCAAAGGGAGTCCCAGCTCCATTAGGCCTGCTTAAATAGTGGTGATTACTAATTGGACTGCAACGTGTTCCTCCAGCATCGTGGGAGGGGTCAGTGTCTTTTAGTTTGATTTTTTTGTCATTAATACTTTGACAATTCTGTTTATTTGTTTCAGTACTTTTCCTTAGTTAACATGGTGTAGCACTATACTGACATATTTTGTGGTTATTGTGGTTTGTTTAAATGGTTATGTTTTAGTCTACCCCCTTGTGTGTCTGAATGGCCTGATCAGCCACTACATATGTCTCCCCTATGTTTCAGTCAGGAAGGTCAGTTTGTGCTGTTTAGTTCACTTCTGTTAGTACTTGACTTTAGTTCTGTTGCCTTGACCTCTTTTATAGGCCCAGAATTAGCTTTTTGTAAATAAAAAATTGACATTATTCTTCCAAGAACCTGTGTCTCTCTGTTCTATGTGCTCGGTCCTTGACATACCAGTGAAACTCAACTCCTCAACATCTCAGTTCTCACCTAATCCCACCAAACCTCTTCTTATCCATTGTCATCTCATCTTGTCTCATTACCTCTTCTTGACTGTTATTTCATCTCATCTTCCTCGTATCGTCATCCTACTTTAACCTCAAATTGTCATCCACACCCACGTCATGTCATCTCCTGCATTACATCATCCCATCAATTTTCTCTCCAGATTAATTTATATGTCTCATTTTATTTCATTTCACCCCATTACATTGCATCCTGTATACCCTCACTGTATCTCATTTTGTTTAATCTCATCTCATCTTGCCTCATTGCATCTCATTTTACTAAACCTCATTCCGTTTAATCTCATGTTATTGCATCACATTTCATCTCATCTCATGGTATCTCATTTCACCTTATTGTATTACATCCCATATACCCTCACTGTATCTCATCTATTTTATTTCATCTCATCTCATCTTGCCTCATTACATCTCATCTTGTCTTGCCTTTAATTATCTCCTATTTATATCCAATTTCATTTCATGTCATCTACTCCTTTTGCTCTCAATTTTTTTTAAATCAAATTTGAGTACATTCAGTTCAGTGTACCAGAGTGATCCAACACTGACAATAACTGACTTGCAGAGAGAAACAGGTGAAGTCGCTCTTTATTTTCTCAGAGCGAGAATGCTAATTTCCCTAACCAAACTTTCTCTGGCTCATTACACATCAATACAATAAATGCACACATAGAGTCAGCCTCAGTTCACCACTGTGTGAAGAGCCCGACCTTTGTCAGTTCAATAACTTTATGGTCACTGACTCCCATACAGCAGCATAGTCCCCCTTCACAGCCCTAAAAGTGTGTTTGCTAGATCCACTGGACTCTGATCTAGAGGTCCACCATTCATCTAACTGTTTTATTAGAGTACACACAAAACAAACACACAGAACCCAGCAGTGGCACCATGTCAAGACTGACATCTGCTCTCACTGACACTTTATGGTTAAACTGCATGCTGTACATGTGTGAAACTGGTAGAGCTCTGTGTCCATATTTATATAGTATGTGTAAATGTGTGGTGAAAGTGAGTGCTTAGTGAGTGAGGGGGGAAATTAATGCGTGCATCAAATTTCAAGGCTGTTGTCAAGATACTCATAACCACAACCACATTGGGAACTAGAGGAAAAGTGTGGGGCTCACATATTCATTCTGTTGGGACCAATGTCTGTAGCAAATCTCATTTCCGTGAATTTTTGTAGAAAATCTCATGCCAATCCATCAAGTGGTTTGGTTTGGACCACAGAAGTGGACTGATAGACAGGGCAACATCGCTATCCTTGGATGTATTATTGTATAATTTCTAAATAGGTCCTTTTCAGTATATTAATATGTGTATAATATGTGTATAATTTTGAGCAGGTTTTCTGACACAGCCAGCTAATGTGATTCACTGATAACCCCAAAGCTGGCCCACCAAAATTGAATCAGGAAATACAGCATTATATGGAGCTTCTGTGTGATACAGACACATCAATACAATTATTTGCACATTTACTGTATGCTTAAAAGATAAGATTCAAGCAGCCAGTGTGGGATCAATACTAGAACTGGCAGTGCACAAAGACATGCACGAAGACACACACACACACACACACACACACACACACACACACACACATTTTTCCTCAGGTGGTCCAGGTTTCACAACCTTAGCCTGTGACAGAGACATCACTGTCTCACTCTGACAACATGGGGCAGCTTAATGTTTAGCCCTGGATCTGCACACACACACACACACACACACACACACACACACACACACACACATACAGAGAGACACAAATGCACGCACACACACATAGGGAAGCAGAGGGATTACAAAGGCACAGAGACCCATATGCTGCCCAGGGATGGAGACGAGGAAACTAAATACAAGAAGAACACAAGATAATTATGACCAAGGTGAGAATACTGTTTATTGCATTCCAACCTAATTTTTAATGACTGCAGAAGGACACTTTGAGGCTTCATGTGACTGACTTTTTTGTCACTGCATCTTTATCTCAGTTGTAGTGAGTGAAATGATGGAGTTGGATTCAAAGCTTTTGTGAAACTGTTGTTGATTGTGTTGAACTTCAAGGAGAAATAATTGACAATGACAGTCGCCTAGTTGATAGACTTGCACTAAAAATTGTATTATTTTCTAGTGCAGAGTGAAAACCTGTTGAAGATTTTCTGAGCCTTTAATTTGCTAAGCCGGGCTAGTAGCCTGTTAATCCACATTAGAGCATGTAGGCTATACGATGCTGTGTGCCCTGTGGAGGAGGGACAAAACAGGACTCTATACACACTAAATAGAAAATGCAAGAAGAACATTTATAGAAAAAGATGGACTCTTCCAAAAAGAAATAACATTTATCTGTCAAAAAATGTATACAGTCTTAATATACCTTTGTTTAATTTTTAAGACCATGGTAGAAAGAGATATCAGATTCACAGGGAAGCAGCCTCACACTGAAGATTCATTATACAGGAGAATTTCACGATTACCAGAGTGAAATGATAATTCTAGATAATTCCAAAGAAGAAATATGTTGAAAAAGAATTAAAGTAAATGTCTATGGACTAAAGGTAGTGTCCCTCTACAGGGACTGAAAACAGGCAACAGCTAATGTAAATCTGTCATTACTGTTTTCTGAAGCTGTATCAGCCACGTAAACGAAGCACAAAAACAGCCTGTAATGTGAATTATGATCAGAGAAACACACACCTTCTTTCTTTCATGTATAACTTTTCAACGTGTGTAAATGTATTTCAAATGTATATGAAAAAAAAAGAAGTTGACTGACTGAGCAGTTCCTGTCACTTTGTTTTCCATTTCTTGTAGTAGTCAGTAATTTTACTTTTACTTCATAAGTTTACTTGTGATTTTACTTAGAAATAGTTTAATATTTTGGGAGACGAGACGCTCTTTTGTGTCTGTGCACTTAATATGTAGCTGGAGCCAGCAGCCGGTTAGCTTAGTTTAGCACAAAGACCAGAAGAAAACAGCTAACCTGGCATGTGAAAAGAAATTCAGCTCTTCTAAAGGTCTGGCACATAACCTCTTGTAAAACAAAAGGTTCACTTCTTGGCTATTTTTTCTTTTTTTCTCTATGGATTAGGTTTACATGCTTTAAATTCAGCTTTTCAGGATAACTATAGAGAATATTTGCAAAAGTTGGGCCAAAAACGTACAGTACATTCATTTCATTTTCTTTGTGACAGGGAGCAGTGTTGAAAAGGACGCTCCAGCAGAACCACAAGGCAGCAGCTCCAGTCGTCCTCTCTCTGCTGTAGTTCGTCTCTATGTGTATGCACTGCACGGCTGCCTATGTGAGGTGGCCTTCACTGCAGTGTGGGACTGGTGCAGTACCCAAGACAGGAGGCTGGAAGGTCACAGCAGCCTGTGGGCGCTGCCCATGTACGCCACCGCAATCTACCTCATGGAGAGCCTGAGAGCGTGGCTGCTGGCCCAGCATCAGCCGCTGCCTGTCCGTCTGACAGCCTACACCTTGTTCATTTACCTATGGGAATTCAGCTGGGGAGCAGGGCTGACGCTGCTGCAGGCCTGTCCCTGGGACTATTCAGGTTATAGGTACAACCTGGGAGGATTGGTGACTCTGGAGTACGCAGTACCCTGGACTGTGGCAGCACTTATAGCAGAGCAGCATGTGATCAGGAACACTCTGAGGATAAGACTGCACAATTGAACTGATACCAATCTGGAATAATGTGCTTCCAAAAAACAGCCACAATATATCTACGGACAATGTTTAGATTACTGTGAGTTTTTGACATTTTAATAATAAAAAGTTGGTTCATTTGCTGCGTCTCTCTGTTATGTTTTTCTGTTCAATCTAAGAGCATTTTTTTCTCACCTGCAGTCTGAAGACAAAACTATTATGTTAGGACAAAGGGTTTGGCAAGCTAATGTAACCGACTGAATGACAGCGTCAAAGGAATAGTTTGACCTTCAGCTCATGCGCTTTCTTCCCAAGAGTAAGACATGGAGAATGACATCGCGCTCATATCTGTCAGTGAAATATGAAAGTAAAGGTGGGGGATGGCTAGCATAGTTCAGATAAAGCAGGAAAGAGAGCCAGCTTTGACAAAAATCAAGGTGGAAAAACACCAGGTTGTGGTGTTATAGATTTTGTGTTGGATTGTTTTGAGCTTGTGAGTGTCTGCTGGTTCCTTGGCAAAGCCACAGTGTTGACATGACTCCAGGAATTTGCCACGCCCATCTGCTACTTACCGAGAAAAAGTCCCAGCACCTAACTCTGTGCAAAACCACACCTTGTCATTTTAACATTTCTGTTTGTGTATGATTCAAACTCACTATAGGTTCATTATTGAGCTTTAGGCATTTTTTTAAATTTTGGACAGAGGCTGTGTCCCCCTGCTCCCAGTCTTTATGCTAAGCTAAGCTAATCGAATACTGGGATCGACTCTGTACATAACGCACAAACTTGAGAGTGATAATAACTTTCTTATCTGAAATTCAACCATTTTCAAGGAAATAAATAAGTTTATTTTCCAAAATGTGAGACTGTTGCTTTAAAAATGGGAATGTTTGAATCAGCTCAGATTTGAACAGTGTAGTCATAGAACTAAATTATCAGAAAGTGTAAAGTGAAAGTGTAAAGAAAGTCAAATACAGGCTAATGTCAGACTTGGAGATAGTTGTAACATCAAAGTTAAAGCCATGTCTGTCACTTCAACACTCAACAAGTTCAGATAACAGTGACTGAAAAACGCCACCACAGATACAACTGGAAATCTGCTGTATGCAGTGTGGTTAGTCCTGTTAAGTTTTTTTGAAATTAAATCATGAATCCTAGCACTAGTGATCATTTGCAAAGACTTAATTACCAACATTTTTTAAATATCTATAATTCTGATTTATCTTCTCTTATAAATTGTCTCAGAAATCTTTGTGTTAAAAACCCCAACAACAACAACAACAAAAACCTTAATAATCCCTCTTGCATCAAAGTCCACTTCTATGCTATCCATCAGCTTTTCTATCTTCATCACTGCTATATAAAGGAGGAAAATGCAGCTTTAAATTACAGGAGGTAAACACAGTATTTGATACTGAAAAGAGAGAAGAAAAGAATTTTACTGTTTAACTTCAAATAGACTTTCCAGCAATGTAAAAAAGTGGGATTCAGAACAAAATTACACCTATGTCTCAACAATAGTTGCACCCATTACTGGAAGACTGTTGTATCACTGGGAGAGTGCCATCATTTTCAGTCACAGGTAACAGGATTCATGACCAGTCAGTTCTGCGTTTCTCTGGAAAAGCCCCGCCCCCCTTGTAAAGTGTAACTACTGCAGCAGGAAAAAAAAAGGAGAAGAAATTTAATAATGAGGAAGTAAAAGTAACTGTCAAGGAAGAGTGTGTGTTAAGACAAATAATCACATCGCAAACTTTGTTTTTTTTCTATCCACATTTATGTCTTCATTTTCTCTCAACAATAAAGATGTTAACATAAAATGTATTGATATAATTAATGTACACCACTGGTCTGGTGTATGTAACTACAACAAAGTGCAATTTACAGTTTCAGTTTCAATAACTTCTTGTGCCCATTAATACTGAAATGAGTCAAAGTCCACTTTCATTAACAAATAACAGAAGCTTATAGCCTGTATGAGGTCATGATTTATATTATTGTATGTGATGATACACAATCTACTTTTCAATGCCGCTCATTGACTGATACTGTAGTAGCCTACATGTCAGGTTGGGGGCAGGTCAATAGGCAGGTCCTGGTCATGGTCTCTTCCTCTCAGGGTTTTGAACCACAAACAGGGCGACAGTCCTCTCATCTCTCTGCCACTGGTACCTACAGAGGAAGAAGTCATTTATCAATTTGTATAGCATCTCAAGTCATTACTGCCAAATCACTTCCTGTAAAATTCTCTTTATCTAGTTATGTGTGCCCTGATAGGTTTGCCATTAACTGTTAATAATGACTCACTGGCTCTGTTCAGGAATCAGTAAACTGTCTCCTGCAGAAAGAGTGAACTCCTGCTCATTCATCGTTACTCTTGAGGATCCCTCCTGAGAGACAGAGGGAGAAGGTGATGAGAGAAGAAAATGCTCAGAAAAAGATGGACAAAATGAGAGTATGAACAGAGGGTCAGACACAGATATGTCACATGGACAGCAGCTTTAGGCAGCACTGACAGACTGTTGAAGCGACAGAGTGAACATACCAGCTGCCAAATCCACACATCACTTTGTGGTGTTGTTGTCTCTGTGAGCCCAGGGCCAAACACCATCGCCTGTTGGAGTCATAAGAAAGAGTATTATAGCATTTTCAATCTTTTGTCTCGTTCTTATGAGTTTACAATGAAACACTCTGTGGCATGTTTTCATCTATAATGTAATACAGTCATGAGGGATTTCCACAAGCAGAAAAATGCCAAAAATTGCCTGGGATCTACTCTTGTTTCAGTCTCACTTTACCAAACCCTTTGGTTTAAGGATATCAGTAAAGTGTTGAGCAGAATGTCAGTGAGAGGACTTCCAGTAAAAGGGCTTTGGACCACCTGCAGTGTAATTGCTGTTCCTTGAAGTAATGGATGAAATCGAATACTTTTGCCCTTTACTCTCAATGGTCATGTTTTCTTTCACCATACCTAACAGGATATATTTTGATGATGGATGGAAATCACTTGCTGTACTATAAGGTTTTATAAGGGACATGTATTGTTTAAAATATTTTGCTTATTACTGAAAATATGATACCTGAGTTTTGCTAATGAATATTTTTCTCATACCTTACTTCAAGAAATATAAGCATGTTTTTCTACAAAAGCTATTTTTCATTTCCATTCCTCTTAAATGTTAAACATTGCTTTAACACAAGTAGTGATAAAAGAACCTGAATAAAATAGTCTAAAATGAGAAAAATTACAATTTAAATTTAAAGCATCTATCTGATGAAAAAAGAAGTAAACATGATTAAAACTCTGACAAAGAAGTTGATGCCAGCTCAGTAGTGGACAGTATTTAATACTCTGTATTTTATACTAAAACTGATAACTTAAAAAAAAACTCTATTCCCAGCACCTCTGTCTCAAACTGAGCTCCGAACATGTCGACGGGCCTGCCACTGGCCAGAGAAGGCCTCTGTTTATCCAGCCAGTCTTTGAAGGAGAAGGGAGACATCATGTTCATGGTGTTCATCTGGAACGGAGGCTCTCTGAAGACGTCATCTGTTCATCAAAGGACAGCAGTGAACCCAGTTAAAAATTTACAGGGATCAGACTCAATATCTTGATTTTTCAGGAATCACAAGAAATATCAGAACAACTCACTTGGGTCAGGTTTCCCTGTTTTGCACTGCTTTGATGCCATGAACCTGCAAGTGACAAGTCAGCCAACATCTACTGTAGTCAAACAGATATCCTGGTGTGATGGAGACTGTAAGCGTACAGATAACAATAAAGGAGGGAAGATGTCTTACTCTTTGATTATTGGCACCAGTTGGGTTCCTAGATTCTCACAGTAGAACCATTTCTCAAACAGGATATCAATAGTGTTGTCCACATAGTACCTGAAAGCACCAACACACACTGATTTTAGAGGACAAGAGAGGAGAAGAGGGGAGGAGAGGAGAGGAGAGGAGAGGAGAGAGGAGTTAACCTCAAGCAGTCGGTCTCAGTCAGCAGCCGTCTCCTCTCGACCACCAGTCCCACTGTGTTGGCCTGCCTCTGTGGGGAGTGGGGGATCCGAGCTGGCAGCAGGAACATCTACCAATGGGGAAGAAATCAATGGAATACTGCTTTAAAGTTAGACTCCATATAAAGTAATAATATGTTACATTGACTTACTATGTAGAATAAAGAACTGTGGCAAAGAAGAACTAAATTTAGACATAAACATATTGCTCACCTCTCCCTCTCTGATGTGCACATCTTTGTGTTTGCCATTTTCAATCACCTTCAGACACATGTCTCCCTTCAGCTGGTAGAACAACTATTTAAAATAGGGAGTGGGAGACAAAGGAAGAATAGATCTGGATTAAAGGGGAACTCCAATGTTTTTCACATCAGCATGTGTGTTTATAGGTGCTGGAGAAGACGACTGCATATCAGAAAAATCTGAACAACAACATTAGTAGTACTATCATATTTCACCTTAATCTCTGACTGAACTGTCAGTGGTCGAGTTGCATTGTGGGTAGGGCAGGTGCCAGGTTTTGACAAGAGAGAAGAATGTGTGGAATAAGAAAGATGATATCTTTTCTTCTTCTGCATCAATCCTTTTTTTTTTTTTAACTGTCCAACAGTGTTGTAGGAGTGCAATGCTAAACTGGTGGAGTACTCTTTTGGGTAACTGACAACATGGTGATTAAAGATATATTTAGCATAGTGCAGAAAAACAGCTCTAAAGAGTTACACATTGCAATATGTAACAGCTTATTGCATGTTACACATTCCATGTACTGTCACCTGACCACACTCTACACTTTGACACTTCAAAATGCCTGACAGCAAAGGATGCTAATAACAACAGCACCCAATGAAATGCAAGTAGCAGCAGCCAGCCAAAATGATTTGACCAAGCATTGCAACACTGGGGTGGAATAGTGGGGGGAATAGTATATTTTTAAGAGGCAGTTATTATGTAGAAAGTAGGGAGTTAACTGTAAATGTGAAACAATTAAAGGCAAGCAGGAATTTAGTGTCCTTGATGTGCAATCAATGGAAAAAGTTACACTCAAGTAAGTGATTTGTATTTCTATAGTTTAAGGTAAACTCCAAGTCGGCATTGAAAAAGCAGAGTGTAGTTTCTCCTGGTTTAATTACGTGTGTGTCTGTCGTGAATTAAGACTTTATACAGAACAAATCAGTACTATTCTCTTACCTCCTCCCCTTCCTCAATATGATAATCCTTCCTGGTGTTTGGACCTCCAACAAACATGACATTCAACTGGAAAAAGTGCCTGAGGAATTGAAGACAATCATTGACTCATCACGTCCTCTAATGGAAGTTAGTTGTTCATTTGTCATTGCACCGTAACTAAATTTATTGTGATTTGAATTACACATTGCTCATCATATCATGCAATCCAACAAGTTGTTGTAAAGAGGAATTGACAGTAATTACAGACATATGTAACAATGTGGCGAATATGAAAAATGTATTACTCACATCAGCTTATTGCACACTGGTGGCACAAAAGCATTCTGGTTCTCTGCTATCCAGTCTTCCACATTCACAAGAAGAGAACTGTTACTCATGTTTTAAACTGATTGGGCTTTATTCTGTAGTGTTAAATGTCTCTGACCAGTCTGCTAGTCTGGGTAGTTTAAACAATGTGACTAAGACTGAAAGTCCAAAATGCAGAAGTGGGTGTAGGCTGAGTGGGGAGGAGCTCTGCTCCCCAGACAGGTGAAAGGTTGCTTGCACATTCTTAACAAGTAACATAGTATTTGACCTGCTGTGACTCTGCAGATCTACTGAAAACCATTTCAACTCTCATGAAGTCAAACTAGCAAAATGCAGACATTGTATTAGGTCTCTCCTTGAAAGTCAATGCATAATTTGACTGACAGATCCCTGTGAGATAAGAACACACTAATATTAGAGCTTCAACACTGAACACAGAAAAATGCTTAAATAGCGGAGAATAGGTAGGTATTATATGTTTAAAACAAGTTTCATTTGCACATTGTTTTTTTACTTGGCCTACAAGAAAAAAAGTACACTGACCAATTAAAACCAATGTTGTTTTAGGCTGATAATTTGCCCCTACATACATACTACATGTAATAGTCAAGTCAGTTATACCTCTTGTCGTGCTTAGCAATATCATATCTAGTATTGTTTTTACTGAGTGTCTTTTGTATTTATCAACATACATACTACCACAATGGATTGCCTTACAAAGACTTTACTCCACAAAAAAGTTAACTGAAATTGCAAAATGGCAAATAATGCTCAGTGTAATTTCACATGCCTGCATCATGTGTGCAATATCATGTCTGTAGGACCAAAATCTGCAGTTTTGACAGGGAATGTAACCAGTTCACTGCTCACACTGAGGTCGAGAGTTTACACCACGTGTAATGAGTTAAACTGTCCACCAGAGAGAGCTGTTTAACATGGTGAGATAAGTTCAAAGCTGTGTTCACGGTAGTGAGTCATGAATCCCCCAAAGGTTGCAGCTACTCATGTGGTGAGTTCTTCAAAGAGCCTGATGGCCAAGCTGGGCCTTCAAGTGAGACAAGGAGTTTGGGATCATGAAGACCTACATTTTGTTATTGAATTAATAAAAAAGAAAAACAGTTGTCTGTCTCGAAAGGTAAACTCTTTGGGTGCTCAGTGGGTAAAGTTTTTGTCGGAGGCTATGACAAGAATGACCTCCAGGTCAATACAGACATACATTAAGGAGCTGGTTGAGGGTAAAGGCCAAAAATTGGTTCTATCATGGCAACCCCTTCAATTGTCTCTATGGCAAAACTTTTCCATCTTTCGACGTTCTTTATTCACCACCTCATCACAATGTGCACCCATGCCCCTTACCACAATACCAAACTGAAACTGACAGGTGATAGTAGCTAGCTTCATTATTTTTTTATATATATATAGTCATTTCAATTTATTCTGAGGTTGCAGAAATTATAAATGGATATTTGTCCTCCAGTAAATGGCAAAATAAATTTGTTTTGATAATATATTAACTGATAATCATTCCCCAAAATGTGAAGCTTTATCTTTTAATAGCTTCATTCCGTCTTTCACTGTGAGTGAACATCCATCCATCCATCCATCCATTTTCTTTCACTTATCCAGGGTCGTGTTGATGTGGAAGCAGGCTAAACAGATTATTCCAGACATCCCTCTCCCAAGCAATGCTTTCCTGCTCCTCCTTTGGGATCCCAAGGTGTTCCCAGGCCAGATGGGATATGTAATCCCTCCAGCAAGTTCTGGGTCTACCCCGGGACATAATAATGTCACAAGCATTTATATTAATTGCATTGCTGTCTCTTTAAAGGAGAGCAAAATAATGAATGTCAGCAAAAATAGCATTTCTTGTGTTAAGTACAATTTTATTGACTGGGAAAATAAACTGGTTAAACTATAAAAAATGTATTGCCCTATTTGATTTTCACAGTTAAAACAGTATCTGTCAGTTATTAAGTCCGTATCAGTCCCAACAAACACACAATTATTATCTGTTATGGTTTTTGAAATTATATATTGGTACATCTGTCGTTCATTCGTCTAGTTATTAGTTAGTAATTTGTGTTATGCCCTTATCGTGTGCTTCCTTCCATCCATCTTGTTTTTCTGTGAAGAGGTGCTCCCTGGTGGGCACAACAGTACACCGCAACAATAAACACAAATCAACAGTTCACTTTACAGACGTGAAGGTTTTATTTTTCATACAGAAAGGCACTGTGCATTAATGAAATGCACTTTTTTACATTCCTTTATTTGTCTAAACAATCCTAAAATAAAGAATGTCATAGTCTCACAAGTTGTGTACAGAGTTGCTATTTTTATTGGACAAATAGGCCTACAAATACAGCTATTACGTTGGCAAATACAACTATTAAATTGACGGAAACATTAAGGTGAATTCGTAAATGTCCTCCTGTAATAGTGGCTTACAATTTAGTTTGTTTTGAAGAAAAAACCTGAAGTTCAACAGGTTTAAATAATGCTGTATGAATTTGTGTCATAACAGGCTAACAAAAATAGCCAATATTAGCTTACATAAGTTTGGCCGACGTACTTCATCTCTTAAACATTACACCTGAGCTTTTTTGCTACTTCATTTCCAGACTATTCAGTTAAGAATGCATTGATATATCTCGCATTTTACTCCTTCATACCTACCTTGTGTAACAGGTGTGGGTGACATGTTGCAGCTAGCTGTGCTACATTGCGTTAGACTCGGTAGCATCAGGCCTCCTCGGTGGTCACGTGATTTGTGGCCTCAGTGAGGAGGTGCTTCCTGACGATGGTTGCTGAGCGTGCTGCACGCAGACGTTGTCCCGACAAACGCCGTTACATTTGTAGTTTTGAATTTAAAAAAGGTCCTAACAGCTATTAAACGCGTGTTTAGCTGCTGGCATCCTAAAAATCCCGTGGGATTTGTAAACGAATTAGATATGAATATTCTTTCAGGGTTACGAACTTGTACGTTATCTTATAAGAAGTGATTCCGGTTCAGTGGGAAGGTTTGAACGGTTCTCTGGAAAGTGACCATTGTTGTAATCAGGTCGAGGCTGTTATCATTTCCACTTGCGGACTCTTATAGTTTTTTACCGGTTTACAGCTGAACACAGGGCAAGCTTTTAAGAGTGTCATGAAAGAAATGTCAAGGTAAGTCATGCATATGGCACATTTTCCACTTATGAACATTTTTGTGCGCGGTTAAGATAGTCCTAAAGAATAGGCTAAAAGCTAACGTTAGCCAAACTGTCACAACAACCAAACAAGGCCTGCAGCCATCGTTTGTTGGCTAGCTCGTTTGTATGTTGTTGGGTAACCATAGTGCAAATGTGCCTGACAAAATGAACAAATTTCACATGTGTTTTTTTGTTTTAATTGTCAACTCTTAAATAGGTCTGACATGATCATTAATGAAACCAATTCTTCCGTGGCAGCCAGCTAACGTTTGCTAACTTTGCTAAATTAGCTAATTTGTTAGCGCGTCCAGCCTGTTTCTGGCATCTCAGCTAACATTCAATCGCCGCCAGCTGAGGTAGAAAAGTGGCACATTTCATACACATTTATGCAATTTTGGTAAATTCAGTTTTCGGATTGGATTTGTACACAACTATGGAGTCAGTAACACGCTTTTTGCTTTACTAATGTAACTTAAGGACATTGCTCTCAACGTTTAGCTAAGTGTTTACACATGGGTTCGCGGTAATTGGAAAGGAGAAAAACAGAAACTACTTAACAGTGACATCTTCCACATTTGGCTGTTGCTGATAAAAGCCTTAGCAGTAACTTGGTAACGAATCGCCATTTCACATCATGTTCATTGTTTAGGTTTGGTAAATCATGACATGAAACAATGACCACAGTAACGTTAAGCGGTATTGTATAGTAGCTGTCACTCCATGTATTGTGTCGTGTTCACATGTCATGTTCCCTCGCAGCACCATGCCTGGTGGGCAGCAGCCTCAGAAACACTATGGCATCACCTCTGCCATTAGCCTTGCACCTCCACGAGAAATAGACCACCAGTACACCAAGAAACTCTGTGATGCTATGAAACCTTTTGGGGTATTTGAAGACGAAGAGGAATTGAATCATAGGTGAGGAATATTTGACATGACACAAATAGTGGATATTTTGACTGCATACCTTTCATTGCAGCAGTCTCAACTACACTTAAGAGTTCATTAAAGAAACACCTGTAATATAATGCACCAAGACTTCTCTAGTGGTCTCAACAAAAATGAAAAGCCCTCTCAAAGCAACTTGTAAATAGTATTTATTGTGAGTCTGTTGTGTCCTACTGCATTGTATTTACACCTGTTCATGTTATTGTGGTAACTAAATGTATTTTCCTTTCTCCCTTAATTTATATTTAAGACAACTGAACATATAACTATGTATAGTGTATTTATTGTATCATTTCAGTCTTGCTGTATGTATAGTCAAAGGGGTGGAGTATGGAAGAAGCACCTGCTAAAATTTGTATCTCCTTTCAGACTTGCAGTTCTCGGGAAGTTGAATAACTTTGTTAAAGAATGGATTGCAGAGATCAGTGAATTAAAGGTATGTTCTGTTGTCTGCATTCTACATTAAAGCAATGATGTATGATGCATTGTGGAGTCATTAACGGGAAATATCAAATCGGAGACTCTCATCCAATTGAAAGTGGGAAAAGTCATACTGACTTAATTGTAAATGCTTCTCTTCACAGAATCTACCACCATCAGCTATTAGCTGTGTTGGGGGCAAGATATTTACATTTGGTTCGTACCGCCTTGGGGTGCACACAAAAGGTATGTGTAGTATTTATTTTGATATTATAGTCATTCATTCAGTGCAGTGACATCAATCAAATCCTTGTTTTATGCTGGGAAATTGTCTGACAACATTAAACTTTAATAACAACACCATGTAGTGTATGACTGGCTGTATTGGTCCTCAAAAGGAGCAAAGAGAGACAGAGGTACCTAGACATTACTGCCACACAGCACTCAACCCTGTCTAAGCAAGCATGCGTCATTGTTTTTGGAAAGCTTAGTTCACCCTGACCACACTAAAGCATGAGGCTGGCATTGTCATATTCATCTGCTATTGAGTGTTTTTGAAAAGACCAGTTTTGGGGTTTGAAAGCTGGGCAAACACTGGCTTACTATAGGCTAAAGGCATTGATGTGCACACCTCCTTGCTATTAAAAACAAACACAAAAAATTGAGATGAAAAGGTAAAAATGATGCAAAACACATACAACAGTATTGCAGCGTTTTACTTTTTGTTGTGCAACAAAGTTGAGGTTTTTTTATTTTCTAATTATGCATAGGCCATCATATTGAGTGCAGCCAATTTCAGCAATGTTTCACAGGTGCACCACATCTCTAAATTGCTGCTGTTGTTTGAAAACTGCATTTGAAAGTCTTTATTTTATTCATGCTGCAAATAGAGAGTCTGTCCTCATCCTTTCAAAACATTCCTGTCGCAACAGGACATCTCAGTTGAATTTACTTATTTTAGGGATGTACTGATCAAATAGTTTTTCTTCAAGAGTGCTTAAATACCGGGAATCTGCTCGTACTGAATCTAATCTGACACTTTTCTTAGTGACAAGGCTGCCCAGTCCACACTGAAGCTCCAAACTAAAAATTACCTAACATAGAACTTAACACTCAGTCCTCTCTGATTGCACAGTGGTGTTATAGAGTTTCTTCAGTCATAAATCATCATTGACTTAGTACAAACACCAGCTGTTGGCGGGCACACAAACCAGACAACAGACAAGTTTATTTTGAGCATGTTAGCAAGTTACTCACAGAATTACCATTAATTGCAGCTTATATGTCCAGCTGCTAGAAACATTTGTCATTTTTACTGTTGAAGTGCTGGTCTTTAAAAAGCAGTTAAAACCATGTAAAAATGAGAAGCTGCTATGTAAATGTCTTATATACTGCTACTCTTTTCAAAAAGGTAGAGAGAGAAAAGTAAACAGATTCATTAGCGTGGGAGTTTGATGAATCTGTATTTTTCCAATCGGTGTGTCAGAACTCAAAAGAGTACAGCCAGACCTGATAAAATCTGTAAACATGTCTTTTTTCTGTCTGTTTTAGCTCACCTTCCAGATTAGAACTGTGTTTTTCTCACCCCAAAACAGAACTTTTCCAAAACAGCTTGGTGTTTCAGTGTGTACAGGGTAAACTGAGCTTTCCCAGAATGTTAACCTCAGCCAGTGCAAGGAGGGTCAGGGGCTGTGTGGCAGTAACGGCAAGACAACCTTTAAGCGCCTTTAACTTTCATGTCGATTGTTCATTTTAAATGCCATTATAGCCAAATACACAGAAGAGCTGTTGTCATAAACCTGGATTTACATTGATTCTGTCAGATGACATCACAATTGTAAATAATTATTGTATCCCTGCAGCACAGCAGCTTGGGAATGACTGCTGGCTAGGGGTGGGTATCAGCATTGATATCCAGATTCAATTTGATTACAGTTCACAAAGTCCAGAATTGGTTTTTGATAATTTAGTTACATCAGATAAACACCAGTGTTGTCCAAAGTGCTTTGCAGAATTCATCCTGGGAACTTAAATTTCTCACACATTCAACAAGTGAGAAACACTGTTGTTTCCTTGAATATGAAATTGTGTAAAGTGCACATTTCTTGGTTATAAAACTTTGGATCAAGGATTTTTTTTTTAATTTGGCAAATGCAAAAAAACGTGACATGACAACACATCTATATTTTCTTTAGGCTTACATGCAAAACAGTTGAGCAAGTACAATAAAACTCATGCACCACTTACAGGGGCATCATTATGTGTATTTTAAAAAATAAATGCAATTCCATACAATTAGACACAGGCTGTCTGTAGCAGGTACAGCACATCAACTTTAACGATCATATTCGAGCACAGACATGGCAAAAACTGAAAGACTGCTCATTAATTCATTTGCACTGTTTCCAGCCTGATATCTTTAGAAAGCTGTTAGAAGCAAAGACAGACTAAATAAAGTAGAATCCACACACTGTTCAGTTGGCGTCTGTTGTTTCACATCTTTTAGCCAGAGATAATATCTCTTCAACAAACACAAACAGAGCTCAGATCACTGTACAGTGTCTTTTTTTTCATTCTGTCCATCTCATAAGTATGATCTTAAGATTCGCTGTGAGAAATTCTCACTCGACTAACTATCCTGGGTCACAACAGTACCTTAAAGATTCGCAGCATTTCATAATTTTCAATTTATTGTAGACTAAAACATATCTTTGATGGGACTTGAAAAATACTGAAAACTAATACTTGGAGATAATACATTTTGAAGATGTTGGGTATAATTCAAACCTCACAGGATTTAGTTTTTGTGGAAGAGTTTGACATTAGTATGGACGGATGCATATGATGTCAGAAATCCAACAACAAATGCAAGATTTACACACACCTAGTCTTAGAAACTTTTTTTTTTTAATTCATCTCGCCCCTTACAGAGTTCACAAAAGGTCATCAATGTCTAGCAAAAGCAGGGCATGTGTGTAGTTTTGTCTGTTAAAAATATCTAGTCCTTTTATATTTCATAGGCTGAGATTGTCCAAAGCAGGAGCAGGATGAATCGGATGGATCATTGGAGAAAAAGCTATTCAAAAGATTCTGTGCTTCACTTTGCCCTACTTGAGTTCAGTGTCAAAGTTGTTTACCCACAGTGTTTTATTACACTCCCTTTAACCTTGAATGCAGAAACTTTGTTCAGCCTACTTATCAGATTGTTATTGAAGTCATCAACCATTTAACCTACTGAGCAACACAGATTACACTGATCAAACTAACTGTTTGTTACAGGAGCTGATATTGATGCCTTATGTGTGGCTCCACGTCATGTAGAGAGAAGTGACTTTTTCCAGTCTTTCTTTGAGAAATTGAAACAGCATGAAGAGATCAAAGACTTGAGGGTAAGTCTGTTGCATTTCACAATATATAAGCAACAAACAAGCTTATCTGTAGGCTTCAGGGTTAAACAACACGACATTTATAGGGGAACCACGATGTTTAGATATTTCCCAATGAAGAAATCTCTTGTTTTATTCTTGAGCCTTGAAAAGTCACAGTCATGTCAAATGAAAGGGTTTTCAGTGTAGAAGATGCAAGAGTAGCAGACCGCTTTCATCACTGCTCCTTGGGGAGAACGCCTTTCTCTAGGAGAGCTGAGTTCACTGTACTGGGAATGCAGAACTGTATGTATCACTGGTATTGATTGCTGGATTACATCTGTATGGTTGAGGCTTAACTTTGCTTTTGCTGAGTAGGAAGAGAATTAAAAAAGCACAGAGTAATAATGTAGTACCTCTCATGAGATGACCAATACTCAGGAGCATTGCCTGTGGTGTTGTTAGGTCTGCTGGAAAGCATTATTAATTTCCTAAGATGTGTGTATATATTAACGCTAATACACTTGATGAAAAAGTGTGTACATCTCTTAAGTTTTATTGTCGTGACTCTATATATTCTTGAAATAAAATAACTCAATTAGCTGATATTTGTTGAAATGTTCAGTAGTACTTTCAGTGGCATGGCTGAGGGCACTTTACTGGTGGATTAACGATAGTGAGAGTACCCCTATGCTTATTGACTACTGTAAGAGGAGAATGTTCATGTTTTTTTTCAGTTGAATTTTGAAACCCTGTACTCCAAAGTGACACTCATATTCTACATTATGTTGATGTTTCTTGAATTTGAACCCACGCTGTGCCCTCAAACTACAAATATACAAAGTACTATGCTGGAAGCAAACTCCACCTTGGTTCACACCTCTTGATCATTTGGAGCTAATTTAATTCCATGATAATGTCAGTCAGCCTTGTGACTTTGTACTGTCCCAGATTTGGTTTTGACATTGTCTCTGTCTTTTTTTTTCCTCAAGGCTGTTGAGGATGCTTTTGTACCTGTGATAAAATTCAAATTTGATGGAATAGAGGTAAGTTATTGAGATCCAAGTGATCTGTGTTGTCTTCTACATAAGTTCTCAGTTACTGGGGCCTGACGAAGTACCACCAGGGATGTTGCCTAGTGGATAAATAAACAGACTACTCATTAATGACACAACTCTTGTTTTGACTTGGATTTTATAGGCACTGTCTTTGTAGTTTGTGGTGTAGTTGGGACTGTGATTCTAGAGTTGACTTTACTTCAGCTGTTATTGTCTAATACAACAAAAAACCTTGAAGAAACTTCATGACACGAGTTGGTGGCCCAGCTTGTAGTTCAGGTCTATGAAAACCTTGCAGATATGAAATAATGTGACAGAGATGAGCATCAACATAACTGTTCCAGTATCTTCCTATGTTTGAAACCTGTGTGCATGTTTTAGTTGCCATTTTAAGTCTTGCACCATGGCTCAATGAAATTTGTAAACAAAGGAATTCAAACATTATCATTTAAAAGCTCATAGCTGTTGAAAATCGTAATTACAAATTATGTGGTTTTTATGGCATTGAGACATTTTATAATTGATGTGCACTTCCCATCATCCAACTGTGCCGTATTGCTTTGGACTTGTTCACCATTCCTGCAAGAAAAGTGATTTTAAGCAGCCCTCGTCTATCTATATATGACTTTCTAAAAAGTAAACTTTAAAATATTAGACACAACTATTTATTGTGTCCAGTATTTTAGTACTTAAACTTTTTTACTTGAGAAGTTTCACCTCAGTCCGCTGTGTATTTGTTCCAGAGAACCTCCAAGTTCAGAAATGTGTGCCCCCTGCAACTCTGAACAAGGTTAACGGGGGTAGACAATGGATTTTGTGTACTCTTTTTAATATCTACCTTCTGTCCTGCTTTTCTGTCTGTCTGAGCAGATTGACCTGCTTTTTGCCAGACTGGCCTTACAATCCATTCCAGACAACCTGGACCTGAGGGGAGACTCCATCCTGAGAAACTTGGACATTCGGTGTATCCGCAGCCTTAATGGTACACTTCATGGCTTCTATTGGATTGTGTAGAGGCAGTAGAGAAGTCAATATTGCACAATTTTTTTTTTTTTTTTTTTTTTGATTGACTTGAGTCCTGATACTGTTGCTGGTGCTGTTTTCCAGAGTGACATTTAATAAGTACAACAATAGAATAAACTTTTGGTATATCACATTTTGCAGGTATGAATGTAAATAACACAAGTTTTTGAAACGTAAACCTTTTTTGAATTCACACACAGACTGTTAGTGTGATGCTCGTCTGACAGTGTTTGAGATTTACGATGTTTTGTCTTATTACAGGCTGTCGAGTGACTGATGAAATTTTGTACCTGGTGCCAAACAAAGAAAACTTCAGGTTGACACTGAGAGCCATCAAACTGTGGGCAAAACGTAAGTGGACTTTCAAACACACTTTTAGGTGTATTTTTTGTGTATCTGCTTTTATTGCATCTATGGGTCATATTCAATGGATCATGAGCATATACACCTTGGCCCATCAGCAGTATTGCCCATCAAAAACAGAGAAATACACACAGTTGTCACAAGTTAAGAGACAATATATAAAACATTGAAGTAACAGTAACAAGTTTGTGTAGAATTAAAGATATGTTTACCTCCTACATGTGTCTCTGAGTTTTTTTTACAAACTTTTTGTAATATATCCTGTGACTGCAGGTCGTGGGATCTACTCCAACATGCTGGGGTTTCTGGGTGGAGTGTCATGGGCCATGCTGGTGGCCAGGACCTGTCAGCTCTACCCAAACGCTGTAGCTGCCACACTCGTCCACAAGTTCTTCTTGGTTTTCTCTAAATGGTGAGTATCTGGCTCTGCAACTAGGATGTTGTTTTTTATCCTGTTTCACTTGATGGCAGTATTTCACAGCCCTGTACAATGCCAGTTATTGTATTTCGGTATTCAAAACATTTATTGACTAAATTTGTCTTTCTATTCTTCAGGGAGTGGCCAAATCCTGTGTTACTGAAACAGCCTGAGGACAGTAATCTGAATTTACCCGTGTGGGATCCTAGAGTGAGTATGACACCAGCGTTGTATTTCCATTTCTTTATCATGTTGTTATGCCCCTGTTTATTATGTGTATTGCTGTGCAGACACAGGAAACACTATCTGGACAGGAGTTAATCTACTGAGTTGTGAAGAGATTGTTTGGTATTTTACAGTCAGCTCAACAGATATAGAACAGGTACATTTATTGTCTCTTATTTCATGTCTCCTCGCTCCTCTGTCTGTATGTGACCACGACATTGATCGGGTCGCCCATCATGAGTTCCAATGCTCTTAACTCTGCTCGGAGGAGGCTTCCCAGAGCAGCTTGGAGCAAGGAAGAATCCCTACGTGGACATCTTTTGTCAGACAGACGCATCCCTTCAGTAAAAATGCATTAGCAATTGAATAACATGACAGATCTGACATTTGTGTAGAAATCACACCAGTAAAATTTTGCGTTGTAATGTGCTTGTAGTCCAGGAATAGGACAGCCTATCCATTTGAATGTTTGTTTTTTTTCCCTCAAAGCCAAGCTTTCAAAATAATGATTTTGACTTAAACTTTGTTTTTACTCGTTTTTCATAATAATATCATAAATTTAACGTCTCCCAAACTAATTTGTCTATTGCTTTAACTGACAACATTCTAGCCGTTGAAATTTCTGTCATGTTTGTTGTGTCCCATCAGCAATAAACACATTTTAATCGTCTATTGTTGTTGTTTCCGTTCCGACACAGTAGGGCCAACTATCACTGTGCATTGGGCAGAAAGTAGATATCAAGTAGTAGATATCATTTTATAATTTCCAGAACGTTTAGGCTACTTAATTATTTCTGTTTACTATGAGAAATTATCATCATAAAATAGACAAAAACATTTTCAAACAAATGATGTAAAAATTCACTTGTGGATTGACAGATCTGTCTGTACATATGCGTTGATACCTGTCAACCACTTGATATTAAGGCTCAGTGTACACGTTTATAGTTCAAGTTATGTTAAATAGTTAAAATTAATGGCACAAACACTAGAGATTGTGCACTTAGTGTTTGGGTACTTCACATTATTTAATTACAAACTATAAGGGAGCATCCTAAAGATCAGTCACAATCCACAAACAGGTGATCCAGCTGGGCAGCCTTCATCAGTAATTTCAGATGATTTTGAGAGGGAAGCACATCTTTGATTCCTCCTCCCTTGCATCACTTTTGGGAAAAAATGCAAATGAGGGAAACAAAGTGAATTGAGATGTACTGTGTGTGTGTGAGATGTGCGCACTTGGTGTCATGGTGCTTTTCAGTGTGTGGGTGTGAAGTTGCTCTACTCATTTAGTTTTTTGTGTGGAGTGTGCTTGCTTTGGGGTCAGTGAAGGCTGATTCCTCCTGTGAAACCAATCTTGGTCCCCTGTGCTGTGTTTTTAGGTGAACCCGTCTGACAGATACCACTTGATGCCCATCATCACACCTGCCTATCCCCAGCAGAACTCCACCTACAACGTCTCCACATCAACACGCACAATCATGAGCGAAGAGTTCAAATATGGTAATACAGAATACACAAGTGAACCAACACTGCAAAGAAAATGAGTTCTGTTAACCTGGTTCTTAAAGTTCTTAAAAACATTGTCTAGGTTTGCTGAAGGCAGTGATAACAGTACATTTTTGTTCCTTTTAGTAATATACGTGTCACTTTAAGTATGGAATTGTTACATCTCTGTCTTTGTGTGTCTGTCATGGACAGGGCTCAGCGTCACAGATGAGATTCTTCAGGGAAAAGCAGAATGGTCCAAACTCTTTGAGCCGCCCAGCTTTTTCCAAAAGTACAAGTAGGTATCGAATTTGCTGGATAAAGGATTGATGGGTGGAACATTTTATTGACCAAAGCAAGATGATAAAACATGTAGAGCTGCATGATTCTCTTGTATTTACTTATTTTAAAAGTCATATAAGGATATGTGGAAACAAGCTGCTTGTGTAAACTTACAATTTTGGTAGACCCCACAGACTGTATTACTGGAATTGCAACTAAAACTGGATGATGCCAGTGTATTTCTTTTGACCAACATATTGTTTTCACCTTTTGAAGGTTGGGCAGATTTGACTCGTCCTAACTGTGGTCAGTAGAGTTGGGTCGACTCATTTTGTTTCTGGAAGTTCCTCCCACACAGTTCAAGTACAGAGACTGAGTTTTCTGCCAGGTTCTCCTCCTACTACACTGTGCAGCTGTGTAGCACAAGAAACCAACTTTTTATTGAAAAAGCTGCAGAATCCCCCCCCATTTGATGATTAACATTCTGTGTACACTAGAATCAAGATTGACAAATCATACAGCCCAGTAAAGATGTAAAGGGCTGGTCACTATATCATTATGCCAGTACAGTAGTCTTGCAACAAATACTGATTGTATTGAGGGTTGAGGGAGGTTTTCACTCTGTTAAATGGCCTTGAAGCAGTTTTTCCTCATAAATACACATGGGTAGGAAACATTAAATGTTTTGTTTGTTTGTTTTTTGTGCTTCAGGCATTATATAGTTTTGACTGCCAGTGCGTCCACAGAAGAAAACCACTTGGAATGGTGAGTGTCACAGAACTGGATTTCTTTCACCCTTCACGTGATTTAAATTGCATTGGGACTTTTAACTGAGGCAACAGGCGCAGCTGTGCACCATTCCAGAGTGAATTTATTTAATTGTATTAACATTAATGTGTAACAGATCCTGCTCACAATGTAACACAGAAACAAATACAACTGAATAAATAACTGTGCAGAAAGTGAAGTTAACTTGTATTATTGGCACTCCTGTGACTACATCCTGATGTTTTCCTTCAGGATCGGTCTGGTGGAGTCAAAGATCCGCGTTCTTGTGGGAAACCTGGAAAGGAACGAGTACATCACCCTGGCTCATGTCAACCCCCAGTCCTTCCCCGGGTCCAAAGAGAACCGGAACGAGTGAGTCTAGTTTTATCTGTTTGTACAAACAGCTCACTGAGGAAGTTCTGGAATAATGAGTTCAAATTCTGCTAATCATTAATCAAACATTTATTCTAAGATCAGTCAGCACATTTTCATTATGATGATGATGATGATGATGATGATGATGATTATTATTACTATTATTATTACTATTATTATTACTATTATTAGTAGTAGTAGTAGTATGCTTTTTTTTTTGTTTGTTTGTTTCATTTGAGTGACTCGTCAATGTGTTTACTGCTGGTGCAAGTCGGTGAGTCCTGAAATCCATTGTTTGCTAAAGTCAAGTTAGTTATTAGGCAGCACATTGGATTGGTTCACTGTAGTTTTGACAGTAAAATAAGTGTATGCATTTTCTCCTCTTTACTTGCTTGAACATCACAAACACGTTAATTACTTTTGAAAATTGTGCAGTGAGCATAAATCAAACATGAGTTAATGATCTTTTTCATTTTGAATCTTGTGTGTTTCTGCAACAGGAACGACTTTGTGTCCATGTGGTTCATTGGGATTATCTTCAAAAAAGTGGAGAATGCAGAGAGTGTGAACATTGACCTGACATATGACATCCAGTCCTTCACAGACACTGGTAAGTCCTGTCATATCCCATAGCATTTTCCATGGCCGGTAGTGGAACAACCTAGTCAAACATACAATAAGACGAAATAGGCTACAGCGTATACCAGCATGTGCTGTGCACTGCAAGTGTATAAATGGCTACAAAAGCCTAATTAGTGGGGTAAATATCCATTTAAAATAAATTTGATGAATGAGTGTGTTCAGGGACAATTTCTGCCTTTTTGTTTTCCTGACGACCACAAGATGAATCATAATTATTCCAAACTTTTATCCAATCACATGCATTATAACATTTTTTTGCTTGTAGTAATCGAGAAAATAAGCATTTAAGACGTTTAAACTTTTATTAAAAGTGACCCGGAGATGATTTTTTTCTTTTCCAGCATTTTTTGATATTTAAATTGAAATGTACTCTTAACTTCCAAATGTAATCTGAGTGGCAATTTAACATGCAATAATCTTTAACAGAATTTTCTGCAGGAAAATGGTACTTAGAGGAAAACTGCAGTAGCAGGAACTTTGCATTGGCTCTACATAAAATAGCCTCAACACATCAGGTTTAGTTACTGGACTTATATCAGAATTCACTTTGTGCTGAAGACAGGACAGAAAAGACAGTGGCAGGTGTCAGAGTGCAGAAGTATTTGAAAATACTAATTCAGAAAGATGAAGTGTTTGAGTTCTAAGGAGTCAAAATAGAAGAAATGTCCAGCACCCACTCGGACTATGCTATAAAGGATAGCTATATAGCTTGATATGTAAACATTCAGACCAGTGGTCAGTGAACCTTAACATGCCATGTCTCTGCAGTGTACAGACAAGCCAACAACATCAACATGCTGAAGGATGGGATGAAGATTGAAGCAACACATGTAAAGAAGAAACAGCTCCATCAGTATCTTCCTCCTGAACTGGTGCAAAAGAAGAAGAGGGTATGATATCTTCCTGTGCATGATGGGACAAATCCTCTATCATTTTCAGATGCATAATGATTATTGTCTTAATATTTTGCTTCTTTGTCAGTTGCCACACAGTTTATTTTCCCCCTCTTGTCTTTTCTGCAGAGCATAGCAGAGTTGAACCGTAGCTCTAATGGCGGAAGCTCTAAGCGGATCTCTCTGGACAGCAGTCATCTGGACAGCTCCAGAGACACAGACTCGGGGACTCCCTTCAGCTCCCCAGCCAACAAACCCTCCAAGCCTGCATCTGACACAGATGATGGGTATGATGTACTTGTCATTCGTGTTTTTCTTCACTGCTGTTATTCTGCACATCTAGTTTTAACTGGTGCAATTTCATATTTTGCATTTGTATGTTTCTGTAACTCTTACCTGCTACTTTGTTTCTGTTCTAGATCCTGTTTTCTTTCTCATGTTTGATGAGTCATCACAATGACTGGGCTCAAATCTACAATAACCATGTTGAGTAAATGTGTTCGTTCTTCTCTGTATTTTTCAGTGCCAGCCCTCCAAAGCAGCTCTTTGTGGAAGGCTCCCCATCACCCAGTGCGGCACCAGCTGCTAAAGACCAAGGCATGTCTATCCCTGTCATTGGCTCAAGTGAGTTTTCCAGTGAAGTATGGAAAAGTTGTGTGTGTGTGACCTTCGTTGGTGCCTGTTGCCAAAGAAGCATGTTCCCTTACATCTGGAGAACATAATTTGTAGGCCGGGGCATCTCCATAGCACCACAACGCTCCTGGGATTTGGATATTGCTCTTGGCCGTATTGTGATTTCAATTATATTTTGATATGCTGTAATAAATAGTAATAAATATCAACCAAAATCTTTAAATCTAGAGAACAGTCTGAGTGAACAAAGGGCATGTTGATACTGGAAATGTTGAAAGTGTGTCCTTAAGTGGAAATCAAAGATTTGGATACATCCTGATCTAATTTCGTCACATCTGTACTTTCTCACTCTGAAGAGCTTCCAGTTAAAGTTAAGCCTCCTTCCCCACCAGCCAGCAGCTCCGTCACCCCAGTGCTGAGCAGCAGTGTTAAGCCCAATGCCACCAGCAGCCCCAGAGAGGAGCCCAACGGCCTGGAGGACTCTGTCAATGGAGCTCCCACCAAGAGACCACACTCACCTACACAAGAGGACCTGGCCAAGAGGCTCAAAGATACAGAGGTAAGGAGGTTGTTCTCAGTTTAGGGCAGGAGTTACAGAATGGATGAGTTTTGAATACATAGATTTAAACTTAAGGGCATATTTAATGAGATTTACAGTAACTGTCATGCAGAGTAAAAGTTGTGTTTTTGCTGCAGGTGGTGTCCAACGATGACTCTATATTTAAAGAGCCATATCCACCATCCTCTGACTCCTTACCGCCTGGAGAAGGACCTAATATTGTAGGTGTTGTCTACTCCATCTGCTTTTTATAAACAGTTTTTATAAAACCAGACCAAAAAAAAAAAAATTTACATTTTCAATTTTTGTCTCTTCACCATTAGACCCCTATTTCTGGATCAAAGGCTAAGCCCATTCCAACCATTGATACCTCAAGAACACAGGTAAGGTTTTCTTTGTGAACCATGAGCTCTATTTAATACCTGAGTGGTTTGACTTTAATCAACGTTAGACTATGTGATGGACTTTTGTTGAAGCAGTTACTAAATCATGTGCATGTGTATTGATTCATGTCGTTTTGTCCCTACCTCAGAGACTTCCCAGCATGGAGCTGCCAGACGCCTCCTCGCCTCTCCCAGCCAGCAACAGTTGTCGTGTTGTGAAGAATTCAATTAAACTGGCCCTCAATCGCCACAAGTGAGCTTCAGCTATTATTCCAGCAGCAATAGATGATGATATTTAATCGTCTTTCTAAAAATGTTTACTTTGTTCAATTAACTTGTACGTTCCGATGTCATGCAGCATCACACCTCCCAAGCCCCCAGTATTTGAGGGGACCCTCACCACTGACACTCCTCCTGCCAGCGAAGAGAAGGGCATGTCCATTCCTGTCATTGGCTCAAGTGAGTATCTGTATTTTCACCATCAGCTCTTGAAGTCATCAAGGTGCTCAGTACTGTTGTTAATTTTATCAAGGAAAACAAGTGAAAAATATTCCTTGACAAAAACAAGAATATTTCTTATATTTGTTGGCAGCCTTTTTTTCAAGGTGAAAATAAGACTAAAACTAAATAAAACATAACCATTGATAACAGAAGTCATGGACATTCGCTTTTCTGGGGTTGACATCACTTTTGTGGTCCAACCAAAAATTGGAATAGAAACACCAACAAAACAACTGGAACAAACCACAAAACATGCAGGACGGCATGCCAACATGTATTTTAAATGTGTAATATACATACATACCTCACAACGTAACATTAATGTTGCTTTCATTCAAAGGTTTTTGTGTGTGTGTGTTTATAGGAAGGAGTAAGTGCAAAGATGAATGTCGCCCGTCAGTCTATTGCAAAGCTTCATCTTGATTCACTCAGTTTTTTGTTGAGCCTGCTTTAGACAAGGATTTTACAAGAACGACACCCATAACCATGGCAACTGTCCACAACAAAGTTGGAGACAGTTAAAAATGTACATTACAAATGAAACAATTCTAAAACTAGACTTGAAAGTGTTTACAAAAGTTGTAAAATGTGACCATGGTAAAACCAAACTTTTTTTTTTTTTTTTTTTTTTTTTTTGAAGACTAAAACTAAAACCAAATCGGGAGTCAAAATGAACAATGTTTTTGTCCTCTCTGTTTCTCTCTGTAGAACATGTGGCATCCAAACACGTGGCGCCTCCCGTCGGCAGCTCCATCCCCACATTAGTGAGCAGAGGAGCCGACCCACTGAACGGAGCAGCCTCCAAGAGACCCCACTCCCCCTCTCTGGAAGAGCAGGCCAAGAGGCTGAAAGAAACAGAGAAGGCCAGAATCCACATAGCTTGAACACACGAATGATAGACTGGATTCATCCACACAGAGGTGGGGGCTTTACATTTAAGTCAAACACCGAGACGATGACTTCACACGGGGACAGGGAGTGTGTTCAGTCTCAAGAGTGAAGCAGCAGGACGGACGCCTCAACTCAAATCTTCAGAGATTCCAGATTTGCCAGTGGATAGGTGATTTGGTCAATGTTGTCTGCGCCCTCTGGCACACTCACAACCAGAGGGCATTTAACACAACTTTATGGAGATATCTGACATGAGAACTAAAGCAACAGTTTTTTTACTCATCTTGTCCCTCAGTGTTTGAAAATGCACACAGCAATGATGGAAAATGAGCTGTTCTTCTTTTCATTTTCCCTTTTTTCTTTTCCAGTTAACATGTTTTAAAACAGCCCAAAACGTTTATCGACGCTTGCTACACACACTTCTGGTGTATGCTGATTTTCTTTTCTTTTTTTTTTTTCTTTTTTTTTCTCTCTTTTCTCCCAAACAGAAACCTGTACAGTAAATGTTGATGTACATAACTTTTTTGTCTTAAAAAAAGAAGCAAAAGATCACTGTTAAAGTCTTTTGACCATTCTATTGTAGTTTTATCTAAAAAGAAAAAAAAATGTTTAAAAAATTGTAATTTCTTGTTTTTCTCTACTGCTTGTCCAACAAATGTGTCTCCAGCCCTGGATATCTTTTGTAAACATTGTATAGGTTTGGATACTTGCAGGGAGGATTTATTGAGGGTTTGCTTATGACGGAAATCACAACCACAACTCTTTGGGCCACCATGACTACCCAAAGAGGACTCCAGGGTAGTATCGGACCTGCAGTGTGTAGGCGATCGTAGACGCCCGGTGACATCAGTGCTTCTCAGGTGCCAGTAAGAGCAAGAAAATCAACCTCACAACAACAGGAAACGTCAAGCATTTTCTGGAAGTGATGAAATGGGTCTGAAGCTTTTCAGTCATTGTTTAGCTCTTTTGAAGGATTAGTTCAAAAACATTGGAAGAACCATATCAAGATGCTACGCTAATCCTTCTGTTCAGTAGCTTCAGTGTCTCTGTGTCACGCCAACCGTTCGTCTTGGATTAAAAGAAAAGGTTGATGAGTTTTCTGCTTACTTTTCATAGTGTGTTTAAGCCCGATGTCGGATAAGTGTGGTTGACACAAAAAAGTGAGTGTGACAGGTCACAAGAAAGCTGTCGCAAGTAAGTGTTTAAACATTGGTTTTGTGTATGTACCTGTGATTGACAGATTGTCTGACACCTAAAAACTATCCTCTAATCCATCAGGAAAGCTAAATAACAGGATACTGTTTGACCCCCCCACCACCACCACCACCACCACTTCAACGTGGTCTGTTTGCTAGTGAGGCTCGATCCTGACGAAGCGAAGTCCTGGCTGTTTTCGTGTTCAGTGTCCATGAAAGAGTTTGTGGTGCTTTTGTGAAAAATGGTTCGAAGCTTTTTGACGAGTTGTGCTGGTTTGTGTGTGTATGCATGCGTATGTGGTTGACTGTGTGTGAGCGTGCATGCATAGATGGTTTATGTGCTGGAGAGAGATGGAATTCCCTTCGTTTTGGGTGTTTAACCCTCTGCGCCTCCTGTGGAGGTTCTTAAAAGGCATCTCCTAGGGCCACGGGTGGGGGGTCGGGAGACAACTTTTTCCTGCCTTTGGCCCCAGCCCTCCATCTTTATGATCTGAAGCTGGGTTTCTTTGTGTTGGTCTTCAGCACAGAGGTTCTATGTATACAACAAAGTGTAAAGTGATGCTAGAGAAGCGCCCTCTTCATCGGAGCAGGTAGAGAGTTGGGACACAGGCTCTTTTTCCAGCATCAGTTTCCCCAACTATATGTACAGAGAACATTTTTTTCAAAAGGCATATTCTTCATTATTGGGGGTTTTCTTATCACTTTATTTATATTTGCATATTTGTACCATGTGATCTTTTTTTTAATAGCATTCATAGCAGGTAGGTCTTTTTTGAATGAAATCTGCACCACTCTGTTTCAGACAACTCATGTTTTGCTGTTCAGAAACATTTAACAAAACAGGTCATTTAGATGTTTGTTTCTAAAATGTATTGAAAGGGTATTTTTGTATGTGTTTATCACTTCCTTTAAATGAATCTGTACACCAATTAAACCCCTAAAAACTATGGTGTCTTTTTTTTTTTGTTACGTATATTTTTGAGTGCTGTAGTATAGGGAAGGGTTTTTATGACCTGTGTGCCTTGTTTTCCTGGAAAAGTCTTGATGACTTGGTGTCAGTTTGCCCAAAAACTCATTGGAAATGAAAAATGACATGATAACTGGAACTATTGTGAACATTTAATTAATCAGTCTACTAAAGTGGTCTTAATGGTATTGTTTTATCATTGTTTCAGGGATCAAGAATCAAATTAGATAGATACTATATATTTATCCCCTAGGGGAAATTCATGTGTCCATTAGCTCATTGTTGATATTAATAATAAATAAACATTAATTAGAGAATAAAATAAAAATTCAACCTTTAAACCAACAAGATCTTGATCCAAAAAAAATAAATTTAGAAATTTACAATTCCATGACTACTGTACAAACTAAACTAAGAAAAGCATAGACTTACACTGAACTGAAAATTCCAGAGCAGCTAGTACACAGTGGCAAGATTGTGGAAGTGTGACAGTGAGCCAGCATGTGCAAAACCAGGACCCTGAAACTGAAGCAGCTAAATGGAATTCAGCCATCATTTCCATTATTCATACCTGTGATTTTCCTACAGTGACATGTCAAAATATCTTCAATGAAATGAAGAAGTCCCATTAAGTAACTGATTCATTAATAAAAACACAAGGACAGTGACACTAGACACTGAAGAGTCAACAGCAGCAAATCAGCATTGTTCAGAGCCACAGCGACAGGAAGCAGCAAAATATTGATGCAATGACATAATGAAAACTATCCCTATTCACCATGCAGCATCTAGACATGCAGAGCAGTGTTAAGGTGTACAGTAAGACATTAACAACTACTATATTAATTTTGATACGATGTTAATAGAAATAAGACTATATTAGGGCTATATGTATTGTTATATTATTAATATGATTATTTTAAATCTAATGTTGAGTGTTTGGAAATTGCTATTTGCCAGTGAGTTAGCTTCCACAAACCTGAGACACTAGACACATAGACAAATGTGTAGACAGTGTTCTGAGGTTTCTTTTCTCTACATCAGGTTCATTCAGTCATGTAAAGAAAAAGCTGAGTTTACTGTGTTGCATTGACTGGTGTGATTGATGGTCATTGCTCCTCTCCTCCAGGTGGAGGCGCTGTAGCTCCAACAAACACCACTGGTTTCTGAAGGTTTTCCATGGAAATAAGAAGATAAAGAAACAATGATGGAGCTGTTGTAGCACATAAAGACATGATGTTTGACCGTTTGTGTTGTCTACGTGTATAAAAAGACTGGGTCCCGCTGTATCACTCAGGCTGAACTACAGCGTCTATTCACGGGCGCGATCCCACTACTGAGCGGCACGGGGGCTTTGACCTGCTCCGTCTCCGACCTGGACCGGTGCACCCCTCCTTAGACGACCTGGTGGTCCCGGGCTCCCCCAGGAGCACCATATCGATACCGAACTTAGCGCGGACACCCGATCGGCACAGTCCACTGCAGCTCAGAGCTCCTGAGCTCAAACGCTCCGCCAGCCTCAGCCTCCCGGTGACTTGGATTACAGGCGCGCGCCACCGCACCCGGCGATGGAGCCTTCATTCATAGAGGTGTTGGGGTTTCAAAATGGTGACGTCATCAGGTAGCAGGCTCCAGCGGCATCTAGCGACAGAAACAAACTGCAGCTGCAGCATTAAAGGCTGCTCAGTGTTTGAACAGTGATAAAACCTTATTTTAATAAAGACAAATAGTTTATCATCCTTTTCCTGAGTGCTCCTCTTTTTAATTTCCCATCATTGATATAAAAGAGAAAATAAAATGCAAAGTTGAAATTACAAAGCAGTGGTGAGAAAAACAAATCTTCAAGCAGTGTTAGTTCCTCACCTGACAATCAATAATCAGTCATTGTATTGCTATTATTCACAATTTGATCCTACATGTTCAGTGGAGTTGTATCAATCAGACCACAATATGTTGCAATATAAAACTATGAGAATATATACAGTGGAGCTGAAACCATAGTATTAATACAATCTGATCAGTTATGACTCCCAAAAGGTCCAGATATCTGTTCATATACATTACATACCAGAGTGTGACATGTCCTCCATTGACTGTGAACTGTTTGCAGCGTGAAGTGTGACTTGACATATTAGGATACAGATTTAAACATGTCCCTGTTCTACTCAGCAAATCTAAAACCAGTGTGTGAGAGGAAGATGATTAAAGTGGGTTTTGTAGCCAACTGAGGTGTTTTCTCCTGTCATGTTCAGACAACATTTGTTCTTTAGCTTCATAAAAACATTCTTAGTCTTTTTCATTTCCACTTTCATTGTATTTAGATTCACATTTGCTTGATAAACAAAAAGACACTTTATTTAAGAGATCTCATTATTTGCATGATGTAGGCTGCTGTATCATCAAACTGAAAAGAGCCGACTGTAGCCTGCACTGGACCTTTAGGGCTTTCAGTCCTCTGTGGGAGCCAGTGGACTGACTGACTGACTGACTGACTGACTGAATGAAATACATCTAAGTGATAAGGTGAGTTTAAGAAATCCAAGCCTGCATGAACATTCATGACACTGATTACTTGAAGCCGAAATCGTTGAAGAGCTTTAGATAATTAATTCTATTGAAAGATATTGTCAGTCAGTTTGATCTTCACAATAAAACGGCATTGTTTCCCCTCAACAGCATGGAGGATTTCAAAAGAACTGACTTTAATGCTTTTAATAGTTCTCACTACAGACAATAATTTGACAAGAAATCAGATGTGAGAAATTAAACAGAGATACATGTGTTTCTTTATTTAATGTTTTTGGTGACTGTGATTAGGCAATTTAAAACAGTTTGAAAAAATCCACTCTTAACAAAGTAACGAAAGTATTTTTACGTTTTCAGAGGTTAAAACATATATAATGAATAACTCAATATACATTTTAAAATTTCAAGACTTTTATTTTGACATTTTCTGGAGCTTCAGCACAAGCTAGAAAATCCCAAAGCCACTGGGAGCTGTGAGCAGGTGAGGGCCTCATCACAGGGCTTAAGCTTGTGGCTCAGAGAGGCTTGACCCCCACATGCTCCCAGTCCCCTAGATAGAGGGGCCCCAGATGTCATCTGATGCCCCTCTAAAGGTCTCTTTATGGCCCTGGACTGCAGCCTGTTGTTTCCTCCCTACTGTTCATATTTTATGCTGATATCACTCACTCAACAACTTTACAACAAGGTACAATAACAACAGTGTTAATGATACTGATTTACTTAATGTGGGTACAGTTANCGTTTTTGGTGACTGTGATTAGGCAATTTAAAACTGTTTGAAAAAAGCATCCACTCCTAACAAATTAGTGAAAGTATTTTTACGTTTTCAGAGGTTAAAACATATATAATGAATAACTCAATATACATTTTAAAATTTCAAGACTTTTATTTTGACATTTTCTGGAGCTTCAGCACAAGCTAGAAAATCCCAAAGCCACTGGGAGCTGTGAGCAGGTGAGGGCCTCATCACAGGGCTTAAGCTTGTGGCTCAGAGAGGCTTGACCCCCACATGCTCCCAGTCCCCTAGATAGAGGGGCCCCAGATGTCATCTGATGCCCCTCTAAAGGTCTCTTTATGGCCCTGGACTGCAGCCTGTTGTTTCCTCCCTACTGTTCATATTTTATGCTGATATCACTCACTCAACAACTTTACAACAAGGTACAATAACAACAGTGTTAATGATACTGATTTACTTAATGTGGGTACAGTTATTTTATTTGAAAAATAAAACAGGCAAATGTGTAGACAGTGCTCTGAGGTTTCTTTTCTCTACATCAGGTTCATTCAGTCATGTAAAGAAAAAGCTGAGTTTACTGTGTGTTGCATTGACTGGTGTGATTGATGGTCATTGCTCCTCTCCTCCAGGTGGAGGCGCTGTAGCTCCAACAAACACCACTGGTTTCTGAAGGTTTTCCATGGAAAAAAGAAGATAAAGAAACAATGATGGAGCTGTTGTAGCACATAAAGACATGATGTTTGACCGTGTGTGTTGCCCACGTGTATAAAAAGACTGGGTCCCGCTGTATCACTCAGGCTGAACTACAGCGTCTATTCACGGGCGCGATCCCACTACTGAGCGGCACGGGGGCTTTGACCTGCTCCGTCTCCGACCTGGACCGGTGCACCCCTCCTTAGACGACCTGGTGGTCCCGGGCTCCCCCAGGAGCACCATATCGATACCGAACTTAGCGCGGACACCCGATCGGCACAGTCCACTGCAGCTCAGAGCTCCTGAGCTCAAACGCTCCGCCAGCCTCAGCCTCCCGGTGACTTGGATTACAGGCGCGCGCCACCGCACCCGGCGATGGAGCCTTCATTCATAGAGGTGTTTGGGTTTCACAATGGTGACGTCATCAGGTAGCAGGCTCCAGCGGCATCTAGCGACAGGAACAAACTGCAGCTGCAGCATTAAAGGCTGCTCAGTGTTTGAGCAGTGATAAAACCTTATTTTAATAAAGACAAATAGTTTATCATCCTTTTCCTGAGTGCTCCTCTTTTTAATTTCCCATCATTGATATAAAAGAGAAAATAAAAAGCAAAGTTGAAATTACATAGCATAACTAACTAACTAGCCTTTATTGACTTTCAGAGAAGCCCAGGGCAAAAATCTAGTTTTAATATCTTTATTGTTTTAGTTTGAATTGGGATCCTTAGCGCATAAATAACAGATAAATAAAGTTGTGTTTGATTAAATTATCACAATCAAACCTGGAGCCTGACAGTCTTGGTCCAGTATGGGAGTACTGGTTGGGTTCTGAGTGTGAGGTTAAATAATGAAGTATAGTATGTGTAGTGTATCTGTGTGCTCTGTTCCTGATGGGAAGTCGAAGGCTCCAGGTATGTGAAAATACATTGAGGGAAGGATGTGGGGATGATCAATTTTGGCCCATATGCAAACTTTTGACTTGAGATAAATATGGGCCTCCATGGGAGCAGATCATACCTGACTTGATGAATTATTTTAGCATAAAAACACTTTCATGACTTTTATATCTGCAGACCTCTTAGTTCATTGTAAAGTGGGAGAGTCATGACCTTTTTAATTTCTATTAAGCCAAAGATCTTTTCACAGCAGACCATTTGACTTGTCATAGTAGGAAAAGCCCAGATGTTACTAATGTCATTAACAAGGGCTGTGTTGCATTGAAGTGCTCCCGTATATAAGGAGAACGTAACAGTGAGCCATGATTCATTTTATTATTTGCACATCAAAATGTCTTCTGTGAAAAACGCTTATCAAGTCTGTTGTGATGATCCTCTGCAGCTTTTTTTGTTTTTATATTGCAAGTAGAAGAAGTGACAACTAACCTGGAGCAGTAATTACACTAAGATAGACTACACGAAGTCAGCTCTTGCAGGTGGTGAGAGAAAAGGCCTCTGTGCCAGAACAACATGGGCAGCACAGGTAATCTTGTCACACTAGATGTTAGTAGAATCAGCATGTGTGATATCCCTGATTTTTCAAGCAAACTATACCACATGTCCAAAGTTATTCCAAAACTTTTTGATAATGCTTTAGATTACACACTACAATGTACAATGCAATTACTGCAGAGTTACAGTGTAATCTTTTGTAATGTTTTGTACTGAACAAGATGAAGTTATTGATTAAGGGGGTAACAATAAGGGGAAGTGGATCTTACAACAAACTACTAGCTACTTATTCTATTATTCCAGGATAGAGAATGACCATAACATAAATTACCACGGTGGCCTACTTTTGGTATTGTCTTCAAAAATCTAGTATCAGCCAGACTTTAAAATATGGTCAATGACTTCATTAAATGTGTTCATGCACTCAGCGTCCTTTACTTTCTGTTTATGGAGATCATGCTGTGCTGACTGTGCTGTAACTGAACCCTAACGGTTGTTTTACAGGTTTTCACAATTCATATCCACCATGAGGTTTATGTCTTTAAACCTTTTCCACAGTTGTTGGCCTGAATTTGGATGTTATGTCATAATAAACTACCTTTTAGTTGCAGGTTTTTCTCAACTTCCTGTTCAAACATTGTGCTTCACATGATGTTCAGTGATGTGATGGCAGTTTCACTTCTCATTTTCATTCCAGTCTTAGAGATGGTTTACTTAGCTCTGAAAAATGTAACTGGCATAAAAATGATTATATTAGCAACTGAATACCACATTTTGAATTTGAATTACTACTGAATACTTAGTGTTGAAGTTTAAATACTGTTTATATGTGATTTTGATAACCCTCTCTCTGAATTCATGTTGTCTGAATTTCAAGTTCTGCAATTTGAAAAAAACTTGACTTTGAGTCTATATTTATTTTGAGTTCTCAAGTTCAAATAGAAACTCCACGTGCCTAATATTGTGTTAAAAGATATCCAGCCTTGATCACTGACTGAGACAGATCTGTCTGACACAATGAGCTTCCAAATTTGAGTGTGTTTTCCTCACCTGATTTAAATAAAACAGCCCTGCATGATTTTAAGATCATGATTTTACTGTGTTTTTCAAGGACGTTCTCAGGCTTGTTAAATTTTATTAGTTGGCTGGGATGGCATGTTGTGTAAGGCCTCCTGTGCTTGGCCATGCTTTATCCAAACATACAGTAAACACCACACTGTGGACTTGTGGACTTGGACATTTTTTACAATTTTTATCAAATTGGTAGACATTAGGTATTGCATTAGATTACAGCCTGCAATGTACAGCATAAATACTGTGGAGTTACAGTGTAATCTTTTGTACTGTATTTTTGTAACAGTGTACCAGTACAGTATATACCAATACATATATACAGCCTACTGAGGAACAAGATGTGAAATTATGGAATAAGGGGGTAACATTCCGGGATATTACAAAGAACTTGCACTGTAGTTACTCATGGGTACATATTCTTTTATTAAAGAGTAGCCTACAGTATAACTCACTGAGCAATAATCTGGATTTTTGGGAGGAATTTAGAGAGAATTTGTACTGTAGTCATTATTTTAACTATACCTTTTCTATTATTGAAGGGTACAGTATGGCCATAACATACATTACCACATACTTGAATTACTTTGGTAACGCTTCAGATTGCAGCCTACATACCTGGTAACTAAAAGGGGGCAACTGCCACTGCATATATGCTGTAACTACAGCTATATCTTGATGTACGTACAACAGGTTTACCATTCCAACAATTCTAACGATGCAATGTATGTTTGGAGTAGTGCAAAGACCATTATGCATGAAAAATACATACAGACAGAAAGAAAGAAAGAAAGAAAGAAAGAAAGAAAGAAAGAAAGAAAGAAAGAAAGAAAGAAAGAAAGAAAAAAAGAAAAAATAAACAAAGCTAAATTAAATAAATAAGAAATCTTTTTTTAATTATTACATAAGGCTCAAGTTTTCACAGCTTTAGAGTTTGTGCAGTATTTTGTCCAGTTACAAGTCAAGTATAACATGAAAACAGTGGTTGGGTCTGGAATTTTGCTAATAAAGAAATAAGATCAATAACATATATTTTCTTGACTAACAGTTCAATAAATAAGTGTATAAGTGTACAAGTGATAATAAGTGAGTTAAATATCTGTTTTTGTATTTAAAAAAGATTAAGGTCATGCCACCAAAGGTACACTCTCAAAAAATGAGTTGTTTCAACAAAGAAGGTCAACATTTAGCCTGTATTTTACAAAAAACTTATTTAACCTAACTTGTTAACACCTTCAGAAACACATCTCACACATTATTTGAAACAAACAAAGAAATTCTGGGTGAAAGACTCTTGATGTTCGATACTAAATGATCACATCAGACACAGCACGGCAGAGGTAGAGTCACATGTCTTATTGAGTCTTGCTCAGTAGTCAGCTGACAGCGAGACATCATAAAGGCATCAACAAGCCCCACCGTCTGCATTGCAGTGCTCGCCACTCTACTGAGTACTTCAACCACCAGAAAAACAGACGAGCTGGAGCAGGAAAACAGCGCAGTCATGCTGCTTTTAACTCTGCTTTTCGTATCATCAGGTAATGTCAGCACGCTAATAAGAAATGAATGTTGTTTTGTACATGGTCGGTGATTTTGTTCAGACAGTTGTCGGTTCACAATGAAAGGTCTGAGGTTGTGTAACGAAGTGCGTTTCAGCATCAAAAGGCGGAAACGTTAGCTTGGGTAAACAGTGGCAAATTAGCTAATGTTAACTTTACCTTGTGCTATATATGATTTTTTATAAACATCAAATGTTTGTTCTTTTCAGATTAATCCGCTACACACGTAAAATATGTAAAGAAATCGTGTTAAGTGAATCTCGACCGTTTGCCTTTGAGGTTGAAACGTTGTTGTTGGCCCACTGGCGTCAGTTAGTAGCTGCTCGGCTAACGGCAGGCTAACGTAGCTAGCCTTAGGTCAGTTGATTGGATGGCTAAACACCAATACAGCGTTAGCCTTAGCTCAGTGTTTGTTTTTGTAGACATGTAGGGACATTACAACGAAGCTAGTTACCCGAGCAGCTAGCTAACTGACACTTTATTTTCGTGGTGTTTTATGTCGGTGTAGGTTAATGTTTCTCAATAAAACAGAAACTCAGTCGGCGCTGATCCGCCCTACTTGCTGGGAACAGATAATGGACTGTATGTGGTCCTTTGTTGAACCCTGGTTCTACGAGGAAGTTTAGATAAATCCTCTCAACCAGCAACTTTCATTTCAGCTTTTTTTTTTTTTTTTAGTATAATGTCAGTTACTTAAGAAGTTTTGTTTTCGGATTTTCTTGTTCCTCTTGGTTGTTTTCTGTTATGCTATGACACCTGTACTTGTCTTCATGTGGCCCTTTTGTCAGTAATAACCTTGGAAGCTTATCTTTATGTGCAGGCAAATCTGGGTCAGTGAAATCAACATTTGAGTTATTGCTGCAGTGTTGTGCATAAACACCTAGGCTATTTGGCTTGGTTTTGAGGCATTTGGAATATGGATCTGAAATGACTGCCATTTGTTTACTTCTTATCAGAGTAGAAACTGTGTTTCTTGCAGCCCACTGGCAATATTGGTTCCTTCAAGTCATGACATTAGTGCTTTGTGTGTTCAGTGCTTATCTTAAATTTGACTTGTAGTTCAAAAATTGATTTTATATAATGCTGTTTTTGCACTTCCACATTTTTGCATGTGTTTGCTGCAGACATTCCTCGGTGGTTCATGTCATAAGCTTTAGGGCTCAATCATATTGTTCAACAAGTGGTATGCATACTTTCTAATCTAATCTTTGGTTGTTGGGTCAAATTGATGTGTAGCCTGCTTCACTGAAACCGTTTCACAGATCACTTGCTGTTGTTGAACAATACAGTCTGAATCCTGTGTAAAAACCTTTTGCGCTTTGCTGTGTCTGTGTCATGTGATGTTGATTCACTCACATTATGATGAGATTGTCTGTTTCAGAGTCATGGTCACAGAACATGAGTCAAAAATGTGCCACAGGCTTCTTTTTTTTTTTTTTTTGGATGGCGTCATAAAACTTAGACTCTTGACCTGCAACCTGTTTATCTGCTGTAGGTGATTACATAAAGACAACAGAAATATAGAGCACACATTTTGTGCTGCTTGTTAACTGTAAATGGTTTACTGCAGTGTTGAGGTCGAATTCAAAGATGTCTTCCTCATTGGTACAGACTGTCTGCCAGAGAACAGCTTGTTATTTTCTTTGACTGCTCATGTGACTCAAGTGGAGGGTGGGAGTACGCTGCCTGTAACTCCACTGTAGCTCCACTGTTTTGAATGCTGAGTGAGAGGGGTTTCACAGTGGAGGGTGATTGAAGGTTTGTCAGTGCAGCCTCACCTACTGTGCCAATTCTTGGCCATTATCACCACAGGCTGCTCACTCACAGCACTGGCATACTGATCAGATTATATTCTAAGAACACTGTTGTGTTTAGACATCTAAAAAGCATTTTAGTCATATTTCCAAATATTGTTTCTCTGACATGGAGATGATACTATTTTCCTCCTTTTTTCTTTTTTTACCAGGGTTCAGAAAGTAGTAGAGAAAACAGGAACAGTACTGTGAAGTATTAGGTACTTCCCCTTGTCACTTTTTTCACTTCAGTAAATGTGTTTTGCATTGGCCTAAAATATATTTTTATTATATGCATAACCACTAATAAGTCATTTCTGCAACTGTCATGGACATGTAAATGTAAATAATAAATTCCCCTTATGGCATGTCTTCTTGGTCTGTTGCTTTCTGACTGGTGGTCTCAGTCTAGCTTGTGGTGGGAAATCATGTCAGATTTAAAAGCGTATGTTAATGCGACTTAGCGATTTGAACTAAAAGGATTTAGTGAGTTTTTCCTTGATGGCAGTTATAAAACAGTTAAGCAGGCTGTTTACCCACAGTGCTCAGTGTTTGAGGGAGTTTGAGCTTCATCGAGCAAGCACACTGATTTTTGTCGGCTCACCTAACAGGACTTAATTGCATTTGATTGGTTAAGGGAGGCTGGACCAAACTGATAGGGCAAATGATTGAATCTGTCTTTAACTAACAGGTGACTGAGCAAGTGCACTTCTTTACTGAAAGGCCAAAATAAATCATTTCTGAACTGGAAATGGCTGCAGTTCTGAAAAAGACCTCAGCAATGCTGAGTCAGTTTCACTATATTTGGAATCTTCCCCGCCAAATTCAAGTACTTTATCTTTATCAGATTTGGTAGCTTCCAAGGTATTAAGTTCAGTTTAAATATAAAACACAACACTGCTTGTTGCAGTCTTTCTCTACAGCTTTTTTTTTTTTTTTTAAACCAATCAGCTGTTTTTAAAAAAAAAAAAAAAAAAAAAAAAAAAAAAAAAAACATACACACTCAGACATATTGACAAAAGATAAGGTAAAAGATAATTTCTACTTTTAGCTAAACTAGACTTAGCAGAAATTCAGTTAGAGGATGTTGCTTGCTTCACATCTATGATCATGTACAAGCTGGATGACTTGTTAAAATGTGTGTCTAGTCTATTGTAGACGGATTGAGAGTGAGTTCAACCATAACCTGATAGTTGCAGTACCTCCTCAAGTAGGAAACTGAATATTCAGTCAGGAAATGGGAGACCATTTCTGCTTGTGCCTTTTTTCCTCTTTAAGCAGGAATAACATATTGGGGAATATGGCTTTGTCTGCTTTCTGATTTCTATAGTAAAAATTTGACTGTTGTCTACTTCGCAGCTGTAGCAACCCCACTGCTGGGCACTGAACAGTGTGCTCGTGGCCCCCCCTACTGGTGTAAGAATGTAAAGACGGCGTCTCTGTGTGGAGCTGTGACTCACTGTCAGCAGAATGTGTGGAACAAGCCCCAGATGGTGAGACAGCTTTTTTCTTCTTTTTTTTTTCTTTTTCTTTTTTCTTTTTTTATATATATATGAAACTGACAAGTGCCATTCATATACTTTTTCTTTTATTTATTCTGGAGTGTTCTGTACACTTGAGACAAATGGATTTTTATTTGACATATCCAATTGTCTGGTTTCAGAAAACAGTGCCATGTGATTTATGTAAAGAGGTTTTGATGGTGGTGGAGCAGGTACTGAAGGACAATGCCACTGAGGTAAGATTTTTAAAACAATCCCTGTGAGATAAGCAAATTAGTTGCATGTGACTAATCCATTTGAAAGACTTATATCTGGTTATTTCCATGACTGCAGGGTGAGGTTCTTGGGTACCTGGAGAAGGCCTGCCAGCTCATCCCTGATCAAAGTTTGACAGCAGAGTGCAAGGAGATGGTGGATGAATACTACCCCATCCTCATGGGAATCATTACTGGAGAACTGGTGAGCACTGTTAAAAAGGAAAAGATGGGCTAAGGCTCGCATGAACAGTTTAAATACAGATTCAGTGGTGAAAGGTCCAGAGACATAACAGTTAGCTGAGATAACATTAGTCTAGGGCCACCACAAATTAGCTTTTTCTATTTAACCATTACCAGGCAATCAAGATCTGCATTTAGAACCATATTGGAGTTTTCAGATGTAAACAAAGATCTTATTAAAGCTTATTTGAGTTTGGTTTGTCTGTCAGTTTATTGTTCAGCTTCATCTAAGACTCTTAAAATGGTCCATCTGCCCCTGTGTGTCGGAAAAGAGAAAACAGAAGAGTCTGTGAGCAAAGTGCAGGAAGCTAAATAAGAGCCATTGATGAGGAAGTGAGTCCCAGTCTAAATGGGAACAGAGTAGTCATTGTGTAATACTAAACCTCGTGACTGGGAGAGCGTTTGGTGTAGGTTTCTTTGTTTCAACTCTCACCTGCTACAGCAACTGTGAGAACAAAAGAGACGGTTCTTTACAGGTCATATACAAACAAAACATGACTTTTTCTAGTTGTCAGCTGCAGGTTGAGTTTCTATTTAAACTCATTTGATTGTGCAGCTATACAGATAGGATTAGATAGTTATTTGTTATATATCTCCTGCTGCTTACAGCTAACATACACTGTTTTAAAGCTTTTAAATGAAGCACTTCACTATGATGTGAAATATGCCGGTTTTTGAAGTAACTTAAAGTTGTTTGTTTTTTTTTTTGTTTGTTTGTTTTTTTTAGGAGGATCCCAGCGTGGTGTGTGGTGCCATGGGGCTGTGTACGTCTCAGCAGGTCGCCATGGCTCAGGCGGAGGCCAAGGAGCAGCTCATGTCCAATGAAATCCCTCAGGTCGACCTTTCCCAGCAAGTGGCTCCTTTCCTCCTCAACGTGCCCGAGCTCCTCTATCCTCAGAGTCCCAAGCAGGAGGCCCCCAAAGAGGAGACTCCAAAGCAGGTGCTCTGTTTAACATGCACAGCATTATGTTCTCCTCATGTTGTTGAGTTTTGTCTTCATTTTTCCCTGAATCTTACTTTCCCTGTAGGAAAGTGATGAGGTGTGCCAGGACTGCATCAAGTTCCTCACTGATGCTCAAGCCGAAGCCAAAGCCAACGCCTCATTTATTGATTCTCTCATTGAGAATATTGAGAACCAGTGTGACCTGCTAGGGCCAGGCTTGTCTTCAATGGTGAGACTCCCACAAGTGGAGGAGTTTTGATTTTAAATACATATTGTTCTTTTCTGAAAAAGCTGAATATGAACTGCATTTTTTTTTTCCCTCATTGCAGTGCAAGCAGTATGTGGGCCAGTATGGTACCCTCGTTGTTGAGCAACTCATGTCCATGGTGAATATTCTAACTTTTCCCCTTCATGTGCTTCACTTAAGTTTCTGTGTTTCGCATACATAAGCCATATTATAACATGAATCGCCATTATATTCTAATATTCAATGATGAACTTATTGAACTGGTCATCAAAGCTAATGACTGTGATAATTTGTAAGTTCTGGTGGTGCTAAGCCCATACCCGGCACCCACTGGCATGCTGACTGAATTTATTCATATCCTTGAATCGCTTACTTTCTTTTTATTTTCTTAATTTCTGTTGTCTTGTTCGTCTGTGTTTCTTCTTTACTTTCTTCCCCTCCATTCATGTTGTCTTGCTCTGTTTTCCCCCCGCTCTGGGTTTTGTGTGCTGCTCCCCAGGAACAGGTAGGTCTCTCTGTGTTCAGCCTGTAGCCTTTTAACCCGTAGCTCCTGCTTTTTGTGCCGTCTACTCCACTAGAGCTACTCACCTGACACTGTAGAGACATGTTAAATTATGATCTAATTATGAGTGAGACTACTTCACGTAACTCCAACACTCTGCTTGTTTGGTTAATGACTTTACACTTAAGTGCCTGTTGGGACCCTGCAGCAAAGGGCCACATTAAGATCCTTTGCTGTGTCTTCACATCAAATGAGCATACAGTGCTGGCATATTTTAAAGTATGCCTGGATGTTGTGATGTATGCTTGGATCTTGTGACTTAGTGCATGAACAAGGCAACTGAGAAATGCACTGGTCTCCAATAACATTGATGTGGCTAACCCCCCTCCAAAAAGCACAATCTTTATTGATCTCTACATGGCTGTTTTTTGTTCTTAAACACAAAGTTCAGAGCTGCAGATGTAAAAAGAAACTGCCAGTATGTGTGTGTGTGGTGGTGTTCTGTGTTTAGCACTGGTAAAAGAAAACTGCAGTAGATGGGTTTTCTTTGAGGGAGGGGGTGTAACAGAAACTTGCATGGGTGGTCATGCTGTGGAATGGTATGCTGATTAGAAACACATGGTTTGTGCTAACAGCATGCAGTGTGGCAGGTTTATTGACAACATTAACCTTCTATCCTAAAGTACATGTTTCTGTCCTCAGCAACCCAAGGATATCTGTGTCCACGCTGGCTTCTGTGCTGCTGCTATGAAGAAGTCCATTCCCATGATGATGCTGCAGGCTGCCAAGACTGTGCCCGCTGCCAAGACTGTGGCCGCTGCCAAGGCCGTACCTGCTCTCAAGCTTTTCCCTGCCACCAAGATGGAGTCTGCTAAGGTAAGTCGTGGTGGCAGTGACTACTTTGCATTTGATATTGATACAAGATAAAAATCTGTTCTGCACATGCACGTGAGACATTTCCTTATTGTGTTCCAGCCCATGGTGCGTGTCCGTGATTCCCCAACATGTGCCATCTGTGAGTTTGTGATGAAGCAGCTGGAGAGTATGTTGGAGGATCAGACAACAGAGGTGGGATGTGTGCTACTAGATGTATCCACTCTTGCCATAAAAATAAGCTCTACAAAACTGCTGCCAACGTACTCTTGGTGTAGTTAGTTAGACTCAGCACTGGTGTCAAACTCATCCGTCTCTGTCTCAGGAGGAGGTGATTCAAGCTGTGGAGAAGGTGTGCACACTTCTGCCTTCCAGTCTGACTGCCCAGTGTAAGGACCTGATAGAGACCTATGGCCAAGCCATCATTGAGCTGCTGGTGCAGCAGGCTGACCCCAAGACTGTCTGCACAGTACTGGCACTCTGCAATGATGCCAGCCGCGCATATGTCTGTAAGTCCTCACTCTTTAAGGCACACACTGAATACAAATGTTAGTTTTGCTTAGAGCAGAGATGTTGAAGGTGTGATGTCTTATCATGCATTTCCACATATCAGTCATGACACTGATTTCTGTTCTAATTCTTTTCAGCTGCACTCGATCAGGCCCGCTTCAAGGCCGGTGGCTACTGCGACGTGTGCAAGATGGCAGTTACTTACATCGACAGGATTCTGGAGAAGAACGCTACCGAGGCACAGATTGAAGAGGCTGTGAGGAAAGTGTGCAGCTTCCTTCCCGACTCTCTCCAGACTGAGGTGAGTCATTTCATCTTCTTAGTTTGTGTAACTTTTACCCATCTTCATGTGACAGCCTTACATTAACCCCTGTGTGTCTGTCAACAGTGTGACCAGATGATTCAACAGTATGAGCCAATGCTTGTCCAGCTGCTGCTCCAGATGCTGGACCCAGACTTTGTGTGCATGGTAAAGAATAAACTTTATTAATTCATAACAAAAATAACTGAGAAGTTCATTCTTGTCTTCACAGTTGATGGGTTTTTTTTTCTTCCATGAATAGTTGGGAATGGGCATTTAGTGGGATATTTAGCTTGCACCTGCAGCTCAGTTTAGTATTTGAGCTTTGTTTGTTTGTGTGTGTGTGTAACAGAAAGTGGGAGCCTGTCCTGAAGCTGTGCGCAGGCTGCTGGGAACAGAGCAGTGCAGCTGGGGACCTGCATTCTGGTGCAAGAACATGGAGACAGCAACTCGATGCAATGTAAGTAATTAAGTGCCATTTTGAATGTGTCTCCAGAGTGGAACTCTTAGTTCATATTCACAGAACAGGCTCTATCTTTTAAAGCTATGAATCTTCAGTCATTATTGATAAACTGCAATGTCTGATGTTGCCCAATAGATGATTCCCCTTTAAATGTAACTGATGATGTAAACGGTTTTTTAACATGCTTTGACAGCCTGTCTAACCACTTGTTTGTCTTTTAGGCTGTGGCTCACTGCAAACGCCATGTGTGGGTATAGAGGAAGACCAGCACAAACTGACCTGTAGGGAATTAAAAGAAGAACTACATAGTGCTGCTTCCCACTTTTAATTGTTGTCCTGTTTTCCTTTTTTTTAGTAGACTTAAATGACTGCAATTTATGTTTAAATTAACTTTGATATTTTCATTGAAGTCATGGTGGAAAGGGACTGGACTTTTTTTTTTTTTTTTTTTTTTTTTTTTGGGGGGGGGGGGGGGGGGGGGGCAGGGAAGGAGTGATTACGTGTATAGTGGCCTGCAACTCAGCCTGTCGCTGCTTCACTGAGCAGAAGTCACAAAGCTTCACTGTTGGGCTTTAAAGATTTGCATCATTTGGGTTGTTTCCCAATATTGCTAGCAGGGTGTGGTGTGTGTGTGTGTGTAACAACACAAATTCAAGTTTCACATGTGGTATAATGCTGACACAGTGTCAGATAGCTGCTGTCCTGAAAAGAGACACAGCTCAGTGTGTTAAGAATGACTGGCATTGCTTTTATCAGTATGTCTGATCCTTTAAACAAATTTCTATTTTGTAGACAGCTTGTTTTGTTTCAAGGAGCTGATATGGAGGTAATTGGTCTGCGAGTGTACCTCCCACTCACCTCCCATTGTTTGCACTCTTCCTACTGTTTGTACATCACTGTTTCTAACATATAAAAAGCATTCAATTGTCTGCTTCAACGCGTGAGCCAACTGTCAGTTGATCTGTAAATTTTTAACAATTAAAGTGATCCCAATCCACTGTTTATTTGTTTCCATTTGCTGTAAACTGAATTAAGCTTAGTATTCTTCCCAGGAAACTGACTGACTATAACAGGGTGGCCATTTCTGCAAACCAGGAGTCATATGTGCAGTCATATCCAGATCATTTAAACAAGAACTCTAGTCAATACACTTAAATTTTGAAAAGAATACTGGTATTTGGTTCATAAACTGTTACAGCTGATCATTTTCCTTATGACAGCCTGCAACAGGTCTCTAGATCAATTTCCCCAAGGAGACATTTGCTTTCCTCCATTTCACAGGTTAAAAGTACTTGGTTATTCTCCTAAATTAAAAATATACTATTTCTTCGGAACTTGCCGCTCAAGTGAACCTTTAAAATGACGACTGAAATCCATAAGTTGTTACTGGAAATGATCACACTTTATAAACTGAACAAATTCATTGATAAGGCTTACAAATGTAAATTACAACCTGTTTATTGACAATTAGCCAAATTTTTCTACCCATATCCCTCAGTAAGATGTGGAGCTTCTTTGCCATCTGCATATTTCATTCAAGTTGAACTAAAATAACATTTAACACCCTCTGCATATCAGCTTGTATACCCCAAGTTTTCACCTCTTGAAATAAATTTGTGTAATATGAAATGATTAAAATAAAGCTTTGTCTAATGAATTGTCCCTTATGGATTGCACTGATTGCAAATGTTGTTCAAAGCCACTGAACCACTTCCACCTTTCAAATATGTAGAGACTAAGCTCTGGTGGACACAGCTCTAAGACTCATCACAATCATGAGCCACATCAGTGTAAACATAATACATATTCACGTGAGGTATGAAGTCAAGGCCTTTTGGTCAAGAGTGGCAATGAGCTTATCAGGACTTTCACTCATACCAGAAAAACTGTCTTTCCTGTTGTACTTTGCATCACAGTGCTTTGAGGTTCTGATATTCATCAGCAGCAGGTGCACTGACTGTCCAGCTCCACTATGCCACTGTACATGACTAGGTTATTACCTAACAGCCTGATCAGATACAGTGCACAATAAGCACAGAGAACGCAGATCCAACAGCCAGTCCCAGAGTGAGGAAGAAGGACATGACCACTCCTGTGGCCTCTGCCAGCTCCCGAGGTACCACCTTTGGACCATAGATCATTGGTAGAGTGCCTAGGTAGCCATTAGAGAGGCCTAGCAGGCAGTTAAAGACCACAGGGTATGCATCGTGTGTGAATAGCACTGAGTGGAGGTGGTCTCTTGGCTGGTAGTTACAGAACATAAAAAGTGGGACCATGATGGAGCGACACAGCACCAGTGCCGGCAGGACTCGGCTGGTGGGGCCCGGGACCTGCAGCCAAGCTGTGGCCTGCCTTCCACAGAAGTCTGCTACATTGTACAGGAGGAAACTGGTGAGGGGCACAAAGTAAGTGGTTGTCCAGGGGCTGACACTGTCTTTGTGGACAGATTGGATCCCTGAGGATACTGCGGGGAACACCATGATAGAGATGCAGAAGACATAGAATACACTCAGACCGAGCACCCACGTCTTCCTGAGAATGGGCTGGAGTGGTGGGACAGAGACTCTGCTCGCTGTGCCTGCAGCGCCTCCACCTTCGCTCATCACTGCAGCACTGGTGCATGTTGCTGCCAGCATGTAGTGTCTAAAGAAGAGAAGCACAACGCAGCATGTTTTAGAACAGCTTGTACATCTACTATCTAAGAAATATATATGTTTTTATGAATTTTTATCTGAAGTCTGAACTGCATTAGTATACATACTGTAGCTTTGATTGCTCTCGATGTAATGATCAAATTGTCTTATTTTGTAACATATCTCCACTTTAACAAGATGTATTGAACATGTACCCTAAACATTAGTTTTATCATTAGACTGTCATGATGCATTCTTTAGGGGCAGGTAAAGCCCAAAAATTATTTTAATGTTATTAGTCGAATTTGTCTAAATGCATTGAAAAGGATAAAATAATGATTTGATTCATCATGTGGACTGACATTTCTTGCATTAGCTCTATCTGGTGGTAGCATGCAGAATGACAATGTGGCAGATAATGCTCACTACTTAACTACAGTCTCTGTCATTTTATCATCCAGATTCAGATGAAAGAACAGTGACAGTGTTATCATCACATTTATCCGTAGGTTAAGATACAAGTTTGTTGGCTAGTGTATGTATCTATATGGGAATCAGAACATCTTTGTCGACTTCTGACCTTGAATATGCCAGCTTGGGCAGCAGCAGGTACGTGATGATGCAGAGCAGAATGAAAACGTCGGCTGTCAGGAAATAAGCCAGAGCGCTGTTTGTCACATCCTTCGCGACTGCCAGGTCTAGTACTGATGCCACTGCACTCAGCGTGCCTCCCATAGCCTGGCCTGAGACAAAAAAAAGGGCTTATTGTGCAGTCTGTTAAGAAGAGACCTTTGAACTTCCAAATGTCCCACCTTAATTACAGTTTGTATATATATAACTATAAATCCTTTTTTTTTTTGCTTTTATTAGAGAGTGCAGCAGAGAGTTGACAGGAAATGAGGGTGAGAGGATAATGACGTGCAACAAAGGTCCCCCAGAGGTGACCCCAATGAATGCTAGGATTATGGTCAGCGTCCCACATTCCTCACCCATCACGATGCCTCATATGCTCAACCATTTTATGTACCAGTTCATTTCTGTTCTGCACTGGACAAGAGGCCTCATTATAATCAGTTATGTTAATAAAGTCAATAATTAAACCCATTAATTAATTGGAAGTATCCATGTCACTATATTGGTCTTACGTAATACAAATATAGAAGGAAATGCAGTGAACTTTAAGTTCAAGGCATTAGAGATCTAAAGTATTTTTAGTAACATAAGTGTTTATTCATTAATGTGCTAATGCATGCAACAAAGTGCTCCAAACTGAGGTCCAAAGACAGGATCATTTGTTCTATAGTGGGAATGCTTCATGTAAGTATACCATTTCTCAAGTGTATTCTATCTTGTATTCTTGTTGTGTTCACCAGTGCTAAATAGTACATACTCTGGATATCAAAGCTTACATGTTAAGAAAATCGTGTAAATGAGAGACCTTCCTGACGCAAATGATGTCAGTACCTGATAATAGGGCCTGAGAGATCCTCATGGGGAAATGCCCACTGATCCCGAACACGCTGCCAGAGAAGAGATTGGAGGCTCCACTGACGACAGCCACGCTGGCCAACGTGCCGATGAAGAACTCCACACTGCAGTCTGACACGTCCACCTTCACCATCACTGTGGTCACCACAAACACCAGCAGGATCACAAAGAGAGACAACAGGATCCGGACGTTCGAAGACAATCTACCAACACGGAGCACAGACAGATTTACTGGGATTAGGCAGTTTTATTAAAGAGGATCTGATCAACATAAACAGAAAAAAATGCAGATATTTATGCTGTGCTGTTGGAGCAAGTCAGAAACTGTACAGTCTGTGTACAACATAAATATGCAAACAACACTGACTGTACACAAATGTGAGACAGCAAGCTATTAGTTACGCACACAGATGATAAATATAAAATGTCTTCTGCTGCACAGATGTGACAAAACAGCCCCTTTTTTCCCCCGTTATCTCAAACCAGAACAGACTGATCCTAGTCCAGGGAGAATGTAAAGACACACACAGCATTCAAATCCTGTGGTAAATTACATTACTGTAATCTGTTAGGCCTTACATAGGACACATGTCCCACTGTAACTTCCAAACACTGACAGATGTATCAACACAAAACATGTGAAACTGCGATAAATGTACTTTACACTGTCTATCGTGGTGAACACAGAGACTCAGGAAGGAAAAAGTCCGTGCATTCTGTTGCTGTGTCTGTGTGTGTGTGTGTGTGTGTGTGTGTGTGTGTGGGGTCTCAACCTGTTCACTAGGACGTAGTTGAGTATCAGACACAGCACAGAGGGCACCGTGGAGGCAATGGCCAGATAACTTTCAAAGTAGTCCTGTGAATATAAAAAAAAGTATTTGCTTGAATATAAGTGATATAAGAGCAGGCACTCATGCAACCACACAGCTTCTGACAAAGTAAGAGGAAGTGAAAGGAGAAATATAAAAATCTATCAAATTCTTTTCTTCCTTATATATTTTTGCTTTGGTTTCTTAGTCAAGTCAAGCATTAATCTCAGAACAGTAGAAATCTACAGAGCTCACTGATCTAACAGCTGTTCTAAAATAACAAGCTTCTATTAATTGTAGTGTTTTTGTTTTGTTTATTTGTTTTACAAATAAAGGGCAATCTTGACTGAGATTCTTTTGGAAATACATATTATGTGATTTGCTCAACCATTACAACATGCTACATGTCATCATGATTTTTTTATTTGTGCATCCCATCAGGAAATGAAAACTTTAGTAGGTGGATTATACAGTGAAACAGATATAATAATAATATAATAATATATTATAATAATAATTTCGAGAACTAATGGTTCAACTTTGAATATATCTAAGACCATCGCTCTGTCTCTCTGAAGTTGTGTGATTCTTTCAGTGTACTACAAAAATGTGACAGACATTTCTATAGCAACCATGACAGTTATGTCCACTTTGATATGTGAAAGTAGTACATAACCTCACACAGTTTTATAGCAGAGTCTAAATTAACTACACTGTGTTTACCACCCTGAATATTTTCTCTTACCTTCTTTGACTTTAACTTTGCTGTCCTCAACAGGCCTTTGGCATTTCTGATTGTATAATTGTGTTACAATGGATTTCTGTCAGATGTGAAAGGACACTCAGTCCTCACATCTGTCACAGGATCACCAGTCCCACGAAAGGCATGCAGAACGGCATAAATGTGCATCTTCCCGTGTAACACACACAAACAATAATCATAGCATTGTATTTAGGGTCGCTCTCACTCACACTGAGATCTGATCGTTGATCCTCATTGCCGCTGTGATGAGTGTTGTTACTCAGTTTATAGAGCCAGTAGTGTTTGGCTGTTATGAAGAAGTTCCAGGGCAGCAGGGAGCCGATGCCCATCAGAAAGAAGATGATGTACACCAAATTGTAAGAGTCCTCTGGACTGTAGCGTACAGCCAGAGGCACTGAGGAATGCTTGGGCAGGAGGGACGCAGAGGGACTCTCGTCCTCGTTCTCCTCATCCTCTGATGCATCGTAGTTGCCAAAAGCATTCGGAACATAGGAAGAGTTGACACTAGGCTGCACAGGCTCTGTGCCATCCATTTTAACAGACAGACAGGCTACTCACAAAGTAAAGATGGGAGAAAACAGGGAAGGTTGAGGGCGTAAAAGAACACTAAGACAGGAGGTGTTAAACAGAAAGCTGTGGAAGAGAAGAAAAATTAGATAAAAAAAAGTCACGACAACACTATAATGTTATTACAATAAGTGGGGTTTGGCTAAGGCTTACGTTTACTTGTGCTAGTTCAGAAAGGAAAAAACAGAGTGTGTTTGTCCTGAAGCCATAGTCTGGACAGATCTCTGTGCTGTAGTTGGTAGAGATCAGTCCAATCATCAAGATCCTGTGATGCTGCAATGCAAGGAGTCAAATTTAACCCTGAGAATGATCACTAAATGCTGGGCATATTAACAGGTGTTATACAAATCTATCCCAAGACATGTAAGATAATGCAAGACCTGTCACATGCAGCTCAAAACAATGATCATTACAAACTGGTACCTCAATGGGGATCAGAAAGGTGCACAGCTACCTCATCATCATCATCATCATTATGACTCAGATGGTGTGAACACATTGCCCTTTTCTCACTGTACCATCATCACTATTTGGCAGGAGTGTGTTGATGTGAACTGGCTGCTCTCCCAAAGAAGGAATCACTCCTTGCCTGAAGTAACTAGAGTCACGGCTCAGCCATTCCCACACACAGTGGGTTTCTTTTAAGTTAAATGCTCCATCAGATTAAATAACTCAGCATATAACCACATGTCTCTTCTGAGGACATGTGATTGTTTAATACCTTATATTGACTTTCAGCACACACTACAGTTTTATCTCACATCTGCACGTGTTGTGCAAACTCCAATCTCACAAGTCAAAAAGAAATAGTGAGTGGTGCATGAAACAGGAGCAGAGCTGCAGAGTGAAGTGAAAACTACTGACATAAACAGGAAAACAAGTCTTCACTAGAAACACTTCCTTGAAGGTCACTTTAACTAATTAAAAGAGATAAAAAAGGAAGACACACATGACAGCTATAAACGCTGACCTTGCACCCTAAAGCATCTTGTGTGTCAGTAATGAGGAACCAGTATTCACACGATGCTGACCCGAGAAAAAACAAAATTACACGAGCTGAAACTTCAGACTACACCAGAAGTTTCATTAAAGGAAGTGTGACAGCTGGTTCATTCCACTATTCACTGCAAAAATATTCTGCTCTTCAGGCGAAAAAAATACAGGTCAAGTTTTATTGTTTAATGTGGACACCGGTGTATATATGCAAGCACGTAAACTAGCTAACTAATCAGGAGCTAGCTAAGTGGGTATCCCAGCATTGAACGATATATGCACAAACATAGCTACTCAACCCGCGGCCCACGAATAAAATATAAACGTACCTCACTGTGAGAGACTCCCTGGCTGTTGCTTCTGTCGTTTCTTCAGGAGTTACACTCACACACAAATCCATTTCACAGCAAACTTCTTTTTTGGTCAGCTGATAAACCGCATTCCCCTGCCTGTTGACTACGGGAAGCTACAACAATAACACATCCGGCACCAATCTTTCAAAATAAAACTTATCGACAGGTTATCTATACCAGACTGACTCAAGACGTATATTTCGCAGAATGGGGATGTAAATTTAACTTTTCCAATACTTCATCTAACTCTCGATTCATTCAAAGTGTGTTCTGAACATTGGAATAAAATAAAAGTAAAACGCAACTCACGCCATTATTCTGATAGTCAGACCCACATACCTGAAGTCCTGTTATTGTGGGAAAGTATTTCTACTTGTTTTCCGGTACAGCTTTAAAAAATAAAATAAAAGCACATATTCAGTTAAACCCGAAATAGAGTAAAACCAAGTTCAACAAATGTCTAACAATTGCTACTAATTTGCAATACTTGAATGTTGTTTAAAAAAATGTGTTTTTGTAAATTTACTAAATACTTTGAAAGGTACAGATGTAAATGACATAAAAAACAGAAAGCCAAACAGTTTTTTTTTTTTTTTGGGGGGGGGAATTTTGAATACTGTTATAAACCCCTTGCTGTCATTGAGAAATCTGATATCGCTAAAGGTTGGTTTGTGAGATACAAATCCGAAGCAGTAGTTCCAAATAAAATGTAGAGCATTATGTTTTTGGAGATTAATTACAAATATTTCTGATAAATGTTCCGTGAATTATGAAAAACTAGGTTAAAAAAAACTCAGAAATGTCTGAGTAATTACACTAAAATATTAACGTTTACATTTCATTTACATGAACTCATTTGGCAGATGCTTTTATCCAAAGTGACTTGAATTAGCTACAAAATTAAAGCTTCAGTGCAGTATAGGCAACCTTAGTGTAAGTCTATTAATAACATTTTCTTGCTCAAGCTTACGAAATATACCATCATACAATTTGTAGCACTCATTAATAAAAATGAACCAAACCTTAAGATATCACCTGGAAATCATTACACCAGCAAAAGACTGTCTGTGGTTTAGAGGAATTTAAACTTTATGCTGTTGTGGATTTATCATTAGTACTTGATCATTAGTTAGATCATTACAACAGTTTTACTATACTCAACAGAAGTAACAAAATTTATGTTTGTTAATAGGAAATGTATCAGCAAATTTCCATTGATATTGTAATCATTTTGGCACTAACAACACTCCTGCTGCACGTTTAGTTATCTGATAAAAAACCACAGTGAAATGTAAAAAGTGCAGGGATGATTAATTAAATATAATATTCTCTCACAGTGTAAATATTCCCTGCTTAGTAAAAAAAAAATGCCAGAATCAGTTTTGAATATATTGTACTATTGTGTACTGGCTTTTGAACAGTACATGTTGAAAAGTGTGGAGTACTCATAACATCTGCCATTAGAGGGCACCAGGGGACAGTGTGTTCAGTCGTGTGCCAGTGCACCTCACTGGGATATACAAGCAATTACAGTACCTGTGTGAAGAAAAGAAACTAAAAGGCCTCTTCACTGTCAAACATGATGACACCAGGTGATTTTGTGTCTCTGACTGGAGTGACCACCTGCAGACTCTTAGCCCTCCGTGACACATGAGTGGACACCAGTGGACTAAACAAATCACTATAAAATGAATCACTGCTCAAATGTGGAGCCTATCCAACTCACAGCTCCTGAACTGCTGTTTCCCCCTGGCAACAACAGATCGAACTGTGCCAGTGCACAAATAATCTAAAATGTTTTTTTTCTTTCCACAATGAGCCTTGTACTTACAGTACAATATAAAACTAAGCACTGATTAGATTCCTATTTTCTCATTTTCTCTCTATGAAGGTGCATGGGCCTGTGTACTTTCAGAAAAGGATTCCACAGCAGTTCATTGTACACCTTACACTCCATGTCTCAATGCAGATTCTTATATATTCCTTTTAATGTCTGTTAGGGGAGCTCAAAAATTACTACAATCATTTCATAATGCAGAAGAAGAATATGTGTTGTAAATGCCATATGCCATGTATGTGTGTGCATGTACTGGCATCACATGCAGTATGTTCTCAGAATAGTTTCTACACACCTTAAGAATAATATTATTCTCACTGCTGATTCATTCACTAAAAAGCAACAAAACATCCTGTGTGAGGCTGATGCTGCAGCCAGCTTTTATACCAGCACTTTATGCATTATAAAAGGTTCAATTAACTCATGCACTGAAGGGTGGCATATCAGTCCTCAATTAGCAGTGCATCTAATGAAACAGGTGCAAAGTGTTGCCTGCCATTAGGACCATAGTGCAGCACATACTCACTACAGATGACTCACTGGGATATTTGTCCTCCATATAAGAGCCTAATCTGATGAATCCCCACACATCCTGCACTCATAAAAAAGCTGAGGTTAGATCTAAAGGCCCATAGTCGATCCTTAAAGGCCACTATTAGTGCCTCTAAAACCTTGTTAATTTGGACGCTGGACTGTTAAAAGCTTTCAAAACTAAATGGACCTAAAGGGAATTTCCCATTGAAGTGTGAGGAAGAGAGGGACAGGTTGAGTAGCTCTGTTTTCTGTGAAAATAAGGTGTAATTGATAAAGAACCTATTCCATTTAACAGTGACTTTGTCCTGCCAAGGAGCTCCAGAGAAGCCTGTAATTTGGTCTATGGATTTAATGGAAGCTGCTTCTACACTGTTTGGTTTTGTAATAACACATTTTTAACTCAATAACAACAGAACAAACAACACAAACACTGCAGTTAAACTAAGAAATATAATTTATTGCATAAAAATTATATTTAGTTACAGGTAAGAAGGCTAGACGTTTATTTACAATTGGTACTTTACAGAGATAAAATAATGTCACTGAATCAGTTTTGTTTTCTTTGTTTGTTGGTTTTTTGTTTTGTTTTTCTGTAAAAATGTCTGACTTCTTGAACAAAAGGCTAATTGTTTTCTCTTTGATGGGAGCAAGGTAGAATCCTGTCCAGTTCCAGCACGAATGATCCAGAGCTATGGCCAAAGATCCAACAGACACTCGAGAAATCTGGACAAATGAACACTGTAGTCTACAGCTAGCCAGTCTCTGTCACGAGATTCGAGGAAAGAAAATAGTCCTGCAGTGTTTAGGGATCCAAAGTACTGGACCGGTCATGTTCAGTTGATATTTCCTCACACGCAAAAGGTCTGCAGGGCACGAGTTCATAATGTTAGTCACAACCAGTATTGTAGCCATTGCACCAAATTTTGTTTTCCTCTTCCACGTGTGCTTTTTCAGTTGTCGCGTCCTTGTTTACTGATCCAATCCCTCTGATCCAAATGGAGGATTCCCACAGAGACTACCGTCACCACTCTTTAACCACTTTAGGATACAAAATCAGAACCCTGTCAATGCCCTGGTCTGAAAAAATAGAATTACTCTTCCAGGAAACAAAAGAAGTCAAAAAATGCTTTGCTTTTCTTTTGTACTTGCATAGCACTTACAAAGAGAAATGACAGACCTTAAGCGTGTGCACATACTCTATTTGCACACCCACATACCCACTCGCACACGCACACACACACCCACACACACACACACACACACACACACACACACACACACACACACACACACACACACACACACACACACACACACACACAGAGTTTGAGTTCATTCACACAAAACAGTGACATGACTCACTGCTGAAGAGGAGGGATACTGCCTGTGTTTTGGTTTTTTTTTTTTTTTGTGGTTTGAAGATATGAACACTTTGTTTTTGCTTTTGAGGGAGGAAAAGACTCAATGACACACAGAAAATTAAGTAAAGACAATGTTACAGATGACAGCATTTCAATTCCCGTCTAACAATAACCGACAGAACAATATTGATAATGCAAATAGCTTGAGGAACCCTGACCACAAAGCAGGCGGCTTAGTAAAAACAATATGTTATCAAACTGAGAGGAGGGAGAAGTAATGAGTTTCACGCTGATGGACAGACAGTGGACAGAGAAGAGATCGAAACATAATGCAGTTAGTGTTGAGGTAAATTTGATGGTCCCTTGCTGCCTAGTTGATTCAAGACACGGCTAATCTATTCTGAACAGTGGGAACTGCCCTCAGTTACAGCAAAGAAAAAAAAATGCCTATGAAATACAGCGTACAGCATATTCACCTGGACGTCTGACCACCTCTAATCATGTTGTACAGTTCATATTTTACATTTCGAATAGATACACAATATTAAGAATAACAAACAAACATGGTTTTGTTATTCGCAGCTGAGACAGCCGCTGTGCACCTAAGCCTCCCATTTGGCCTGCTCTACTAGAATCAGAAATAATACACAGCAGCTCAGCGGCCTAAACAAGCACAGATGATAAAACTGGTTCTATATGACCGTAACAGCAATGACAATGAAAAGAGAGAGAGAGAGAGAAAAAAAAATCCACAAATATGGATAATAACTTAAAGAGCGTTCCCCAAAGGAAACTTTTAAGGGATGACCAGAAAGCTCTCCTGCAGTTTATTCTCAACAGATCGGAGGAGTGTGGCGGAGCGATAGAGGAATGTGAGGAGAGATGAAAGAGAAAAACCCCTGTGAGTCGGAAAGATATGCCAAGGCTTTGAGGCATTTGTTGGTACAATATAAAGAGTCAGTTGGTGTAGTTATCCACCAATTCTGAAACAAACTTCACAATTCACCCTCCCACCACAAAGAAGAGGCAGCTTTTTGATTCTTTCTATTCCTTTTTTTTTTTTTTTCTCAGCCCAAAGCGATAAGCTCAAGCCCTGAAACCTTAAGAGTTGGGTCCTCATATGATTTGTTGGCAGTCAAAGCAGTTACACAAGAAATCCTAGCCTGTCTGATTCAGAGCCGATTAATGACCAGTTTGTCCGCGTGTGTGTTGGAGTGTGTCTGTAGCCTGAGGAGGGCGCAGACAGGTTTGTGCTGCCTGTCATTCACTTCCCACACAGAATGACAATGGAGGAAACAAAAGCCCCTGCCATGAGGTGAGATGATGTTAAATCATGCACTTTCATGCTGCTACTGAAACATGGGTAAACATGGTGTTTGCCTTTGTGTGTCTGTGTTATTGTGCGTGCTTTAGTGCGCTGAATACATGGATTTTTTTTTTTGTTGTTGTTGTTGTTGTTTGTTCCAAAGCTTTGTCATTTATGTACAAGAATAGCATCATTTTCAATCGTTGAAGAAGACAGTCATTAGCACACACACTTTATATCTTCGTTTACCCTTAAAATGCTTTCACATCTTGCAGATGCAACATTGCTTTGGAGGATTCAAGCTGAATCGGGTTAGCAGTTGTCATAAGATGGCTCGCAGGGAGACAGGTTATGGTGGATGTAGCTACAGAGGGCCGGTGAGAAGTGAGATGAGGCAGAGGTAATACAGTGCATGTGAGAGAACCAAAATGCTCTGTGGGCTTATGATGTGTGCCAGGGTGCATATTCATAGGCAGGTATCCTTATTTTCATCACGGTGGGGGAAAAAATGTCTGGCTTGCTCTATTGTTCCTTGACCAATCAACAATCCCCATCAGTTGTCATGACAACTAGCACCTCACTTTTGCCCATCTCTTCCAGCGCGGTCGCCAAAGAGACCAGGTCTGCGTCACCTTGGTGACAGGCTTCCCATAAGTCCAGCAGAACACCTGTGGGGCTGGGCTTTGTTGCAAAGTAGTTCAAGTACCTGAGGGGAAGAGAGACGAGGTAAGTTTATTCTCAACAGAAGAGGACAGAGTGAAGGAAGCGCTGCATTATTAATTACGAACACTTAAAGTCATTAATACTTTATGTTGCAAATGCTGCTGGTAACACTTCATTATGACAGTCCTGTATTGATGCCCAACTAACTATCATATTTCACAGAGCAGGACTAGGTAGTTAGCAAGATGAAATATACAACATGGATAATAATCATATTCCTGAACTTAATATTCAAGTCATGTTTTAATTATCCTGTTCAGTATGAACAGGATACAACACTGTTTTTCTGTTTAAATTTGAGTTTATAGTGTCACACATAGCCTAAACCCACACTGAACTCTAAGCCCTTTTTAAATTACAACCCCAAATTCATCACTCCACAGAACGAACTAAGAACCTGAGTATCAGCGCTGGACTCTACAACTACGCTATTATCAATGTGCGGCCAAGCTGCTGTTCACACATTAACATGTGAGGCTGATCTGACCTGTCAAAGCCCAGACTGCGTGCCAGTAGCCTCCAGTCACACCCACGAGCGCTGGGTGCATCCAAACTGGCACAGATCTTCTGGCGGATGGAGTCAGGCAAGCGAAAGGCATAGGGTCCCACTTGAGAGGAAGGCAGGCAGGTGCCTCCTGAGGGGAGGGGCGAGTGCGGTGGTAGAGTCTGGAATGACAGAGACGGACATTTTGTGATTTTTTTTAATTTTTTTTTTAGCGTGCCTCTGTGGCTTCCATATTGCTATTATCAATGTGTGCACGAGCCTGTTTTTAGCTGTCACCATTACCTCCTGAATATCTGTATGCAGCTGGAATATCTGTCCCTCCCCTTCCACCTGTCGGACACAGATCTTACAGGTGAGCTGCGACACGGCCAGGCTGCCTCTCTCCAGGCTGAAGGTGCAGTGCAGTGGTCTCTGACTGCCGCTCCAAATGTGATAGAACGGGATCTCCTGCCACACAAAGTAAAATAGTCAAACAAAAAGAGCTGGATTAAAAGTATCTTTGTCCTGAGCACCACAGTCAGGAATGATCTAGAACACAAGTTTCCATTCAAGGGGTGTGCAATATATGTTATTTTGATTCCAACCAAGTGGGTCTGCGTGTGTTGCAGCACAATTTTTTTTCTAAAGCGCACTGTCCATAAATTAGAAGCACTATCAGATTTGCTGTTTGTTTATTCAGAGGAGGTTCAGACTGCAATTTCGGTTGCTGCCGCCAAGAGAATGCAGCAGAGAGTTTTGGTGTTTGCAACAGCAGTGGATACTATAAAATCTACTGGCTGTATTCTCATCCTAAACATCCTTCTGAAGTCTGAAGAGTTTGTCAGACCGTGGCGTTTGCTTATGAGGTATTGCTTATTAATCAAAGTAACAATACTATTTGTAAGCTTCTGATGATTTCTCCTTCAAATGCAGACACTCTTCTCTCTTCTAGACCTACATGCAAATCAACAGGCTAGTATATCATCTGCTGCATTATGTCACCTGGTACTTGGCCAGAAGTTTGCTTCTCCAGTGAGTGTGAGGAATGTCGTGGATGGACAGGCGCAGGTTGTGGTAGCTGTCTTTGAAGAGCAGTGGCTTGGGATCCTCCAGCAAAACTCCGCCTAGACTCCTCTCCAGATCCAGCACCTCCTGCACAGAGGCAGAGAGAAGACGGGCTCAGGAACACCTTCATTCGATCATTACAGGTTTATAATTATGACACATTTCGAGAGCACACCTTCGAAAATCCTTAATTAAAATGTGTTGTGCATTCTCTTAGACAATGTCTCCAAATGGAAACGTGTTAGAGCTGCCTGGGTTGAAAGCTGTCTGAACTTTAGCAGCCAGAAATCATGTAATGCGCTGCCAGTAAACTGCACACAGCACGCTCATGTTTACCACCCTGGCTGCTCTGCGAACACTTGCAAACATACAACAAGGGACTGAGGGAGGGAAAATATTTAACGTCAGTGAGTGAGTCCAACTTTCTCTGGACGCTCTGCTCACTCGCTGTTTAGTAGGGAGCTTGTATTGTGCCGTACTATTTTGAGGCATGGCTGCTAATGGAACAGAAGCAGCGCCTCCAGAATGTAATCTGACAAAACAGGGTGGATCTGCAGGGTCAGTTCAGAGAGGACGGTACTCCTCTATTGCCCTCCAATCCTTATTATCCTCTTCTTGTTATCATCCTGTGTCACGCTTTGATTTCACAACACCTTGTTTGTGTTATGCTCTATTTATATTTATACCTTTTTATTTCATTTCATTTCATGCTTTGCTTTTTGATTTCGCAAGTTCAGATCTTCTGCATGATTTAATCTGTCTTTTATTTTGGTTTTCTTCTTTTTTTAAACTGACTATTTAGATAGGATGTTTTTACACTCAGTGATTTTCTTCACACATCGAGTATTATTTTACCAGCTGGTCGTTTACAGGTTGTTCCTAAGAAAATGTAAATGATAATAGAATCACTTGTTATGAAAGCCATGAAAGTTTTAGATAAAAAAAAAAACAGCATAATCACAATATACTGGAAAAATGTAAATATGCTATGTATGTATATGTTTTTGCATGGACTTGCCCCACCACCTTTAAATGAACTCATTAAACAGAGGGCTGAGAGTGGCATTGGCGCTAGGGATCAGTAAAGGGAAGTAAATATTGGCCTTACTTATAAAGCCTTACCACTTGTAATAGAGGAGTGCCCTACACGTCCCGCCTCCATGACATATCTCAAACATTAAGTCAAACCACATCTGCGATCACTTTTAACGCTGCAAATTGTAATTATTTTTATTTGTGTATTTCATATTTGTATTTATGTTACTTGTAATGTTTTTTGTTTTACAGTACCTGCCCAGGGACTATGGATGCAAATTATAATCTTTGCTACGATTGTGCATGTTTACATTGTGTATCATATCAACAAACAAACAAACAAATACACAGATGGCACTGGTTGCTGTATAAACCCAAACCAAAACCAAACCAATCTCTGTTACAGAGATACTTTACAACTGCAGCTGATATGATGGATGAATTTTTCATTTAAAAGAAAATGCTTAAATAAATTACTAGTACTGCACTTATTAAAGGAGATCTCAAGTCTGTTTACAGTTCCTTGGGAGTGTCTGGTGCATTCGTGAGAAAAGATGCATAATGTTTTTTGGGCGCTGCAGAGGGCGCTGCACAAAACCTGATAAATTGTCTCAACTGATGTCATTTGAGTCGGCGGCGGTTGGGGCTGAAGAGTGTGAGTCAGGACAGGAAGTGAGCTCCTCATCTCTGCCTGAGGCTAGCTCCTCAAAGCTACATTAGCTGCCACTAGCATAACACACCAGAATCTCCAACAAAACTGTCGGCAGGTGAGATGCATTGTGGGTAAAGTGGGTGCCAGGTTTTGACGAGGTGGAAGAATGTGTGGAATAAAACAGGCAATATCGCTGGCACTGCTGCATTGATTCTGACTCTTTGTTTGTGTCCAGCAGTGTTATAGGAGTGCAATGTTCAATCAGTGGAGTGCTCTTTTAATATTTAAACTAGCGTTGCCAGTCAAAGAAAAAGAAGTAAACAAGTCAATAGAAGCGAAAACAGAGACACGAGACGAATGAAGGTAAGCAGCTGAACAAACTGACACAAGTTCAGATATAGACATTGACGCACACGCAGACAAAAGAGATCGATAAACAGAATAAACACCTTGAGGGCATGTGGGGTGTCATGGATACAGTAGATCCGGAGGCTGTAGTCAAGGGAGAGGCAGGGTGCCCGGGGGGCGAACAGGGCCAGCTGCAGGCGTTTGCAGGCAGGCTGCGGGGGGCAGGACTGGCCCACCAGGCCGTACGTTCCCAGCTGCTCCATGAGAACGTGACAACACTCCTCCTCCAGCTGCAGGTAGCACGGAGACGACAAAGTCTCCTCGCCCACCGTCAGCACCTCCTGAAAAAAAGATGGAGGCAGGGTTCAGTGATGCCGCATCGGCAACAACAAGCTCTCCATTATTTCGATACCTAGTTGTGTGACTGTCTGACCTCCCAGGCCCCCTGGTGCGTCTGAGTCTTGAGTGTGAGGGTCCAGTCGGGTGTAGGTGTGTCTAGCTGGGCACAGTGGGGCAATGTGAGGACCACAGGACGGTTCAGCAGCATACCAGACGGGCCACAGCTCACCACAGGACTTAGCACAGTCTGACTGCCCTCAGAGGGTAGCCTGTAAAATGTCACACACACACACGCACACACACACACACACACACACACACATTTACAACTGTTGCTGAAACATCACACACACTATAGAAAAACATCATGGCCACGACACATCAGTAGCAGGTCGGGAACATCCTGGTATTGATGTGTTTCAGGCGAAGTGAATATCAGACTTGCAGAAAATTGGCAAGAAATTAATCCACTCCAATATTCGTGTGGAACTTGAGTCAAGTTGATAAATTTTTTATCTTAAGAAAAAGTGATAGAGCCGCCTAATAACCTTCAAGTGATTCGCAGTAGGTGAGCCTTGCATGGGAACATTTCTGATTGAGGTGAGAATAAGGTCTGTTCTGCTACGTGGCTGCAAAGGAGATGAGTGAAATCGAGGGATAAGGCACTCACGTTGTTTTGTCCCACTTGTTAATAATGAGGTACATCTCGTAGAACTTCCCCTGGGGGATTGTGCCAGGGGGGACCAGCAGGCTCACACCTGAGGGCGAAGGCATCACGACTTAATCTTGTCTTCTGTGTGATTAACTGAGCACGCCATTGCTTCACAGTGTTAGAATACAAATCTTTCCATTTGTGCATAAAAAGACAGTTGGGGGTGTTATTACCTGTGTTGGGGATGGTGAGGCGTCCTCCCAGGTTACCCAGGGTGGCGCTGGTGCTCAGCCCGGGCTCTCTGGACAGGGTGTGACTATGATACTCCCGCTCTCTACCCACGGTGCCTACCGACTTCAGGCTGAGGATCTCCCCGTCTCCTGAGACCATGTCAGCAGGGAGCTCCAGGGAGGAAAGAGTGGAGGAGTTGTACACCTTGATTTTGAGGCTGGGCAAGGGGTCCAGCAGGGGAGAGGTGGTCATGGGGATTTTGTGGGGGCTGTCGTTGACCCCGTGCTGCAGCGAGAAGAGGGGTCCGCGGAAAGCCCCCGCTGTGGCTGTGAGATCGGGAGGAGCTGAGGGATGCAGAGGGTGAGGGTTATCTGCAGACACAGGAGAAGAGAGGAGCTGTTCTCTTATCACCAGAAATGACACATGCCGCGCTGAGAGTGCTAAAAGTGACGCGAGTGAAATGGATTAATGTTGCTAATTAAAATTTGATGGCAAGAACAAGAGAAAGGAATAGCATAACAAATGCTTAAAATGAAGAAAAAAAATGTAATGCACCGAAGAACAGAGAACTGACTAAGCGAGAGGAGATAACAGTATAAAGACAATTAATTTATATGATGTTATAAATAGCAGTGTGATAATGACATGAATTGTGAAGAAGTTCTCCTATGAGGATGACTAAAAACAGGAAAAGTTGTGAAAACAATGATAAAAAAGAGAATCCAAATGTGTATTGAATAATGTGTATGTGTGAATGGAAGTATGTGTGTGACTCACCCTGTCTGGGAGGCTTGTAGTTGCCAGGGTGAAAGGCGGTGGTGAGAGCAGACGAAGAATCGGTGATATCTCCGTGGAGATGGCGGCGTCTGCGGCGATATGCGAGGCCTCCCACGCACAGCGCCAGGATCACACACAGCAGCAGGGCCACCACCAGACCGGCGTAGACCGCTACACCCATACCTGGGGCCAGCGCTGAAAGAAGGACACAACAACAGACATTATAAAGAGACACACATACAGACACAAACGCAAGGGAAACACAGGGGTGAAAGAAAAATACTTGATGAGACAGCATCTGATTTACTGCACACACACTGCAGCAGGAAGTAGTATAAATTAGTTATTGCAGTCTAAGTTAGCACTTAAAAGATTAGTCGATTAATTCATTACATGCCCATCATTTCTGATGATCAAATCATCTTTCTCCAGCTACTACAACGAGAGAATTCTCACATCATTGTATGACTGTAAATTCAATATCTTTGGGATTTGGATTATTGATCGAACTAAACAAGCAGCGTCCCCTCGAGCTCTGGGACTTATAATGCAACTTTTGACTGTAGATTCTAACACAGGCATGTCTGACTGCCCGATTAATCACAAAGAATAATCAACCAATTAATCAGTGATGGAAATGATTCACAGTTGCGATTTATATCTTCAAGTATAGGTTTATATTTATGTCTATCTTAAAACAATACTGACATGCCCATTTGTGCATTTAATGATATACTGGTTGCCTTAATTTCTCCTCATGTCTATACTGGGCTTGAAGACATCCCTCCACAACGTGATTCCAGTGGAACAGATGGGGGGACAAATCCACAGTCCTTGTTCTGTGCAAAAGTGCATTCGCTGAGGCGTGTATCTTCCAAAGTTACAGACATAAAAATTATGCCAACGAGTCTCAAGCAGTGAGGTGTACAATTGTTAAAAGTTGTGCATCTGTAGACTTCGAGGTATTGGCACTGGTATCAGGAGAGAGAAAGGTGGATCGGCTATAAAATGAGCTTCAGCTGAACCTTATCGTGCATTTTACACAGAGCGAGGACTGTGGACTGTGTCCCACAGCTGTTACACTGGAAGTGCATTAGGAAGGGAATCACGTCACCACTAGTATGAAAAAGGAGACATGATCACAGTGACGATAACTCTCTCAGTGAACTTGTGAGTATGTGAGTGTAAAGACTAAAACGCTTGCAGGATATTACCGGTTGTTCAGCCACAACTACATCTTTTTGTTTGGAAGAGACCAACCACAACCAAGTTTTTTTTTTTTTACAATTGTTTATACACTTGTCTCAATAATTAAATACACTTAACACATTCACCTTATCAGTAGTATCAAAAGGTATTCAATCACCACTTAAATTCATGAACACCTCTCTTGATCAGTGTTCACCACCAGCAAAAATCTATAACCACAGCAGATTTTGCGGAGACTTTCAAACCCTCAGCTTAAAACCTGATGTAATTCAGATGACTGTGGATGGAAATGTGCTAACAACTTTCACAGACAAATGAAACTTCATACGTGAAAGAAAATGATCATTAATAAAAATAAATGAATAAAATTGTTCCGATATTATTCTGATATATATAAATAGTAAAATGTGTATGTACAGTATATAGGTATAATATAATATAGATGTAGTTTTTCATTGATCGTTATGTATTTTGATTAGCTGACTGTATCTTCTGAACCACAGTGTATTGCACTGTGAGAACAAATGGCAAAACACAGTAAAGCCCACTGAAGAATACTGTTGCTTCTGTGATTTGTTTTTTGTTTTTTTTTCATTACACAGGAAAAGTTGTTATTCTTGGTTTCTGATACAATAAAAAATGTATTCATTGAGTTAAATTTGCCACACTCAGGTCATGATGTCTGCTGTGAGAGGCAAATAAACAGATCAAAGGTTTCTTTAGCTGCTTGTGGATGTAAAAATAGAGGATAGGGAAACACATACTATATATATTTTGCGATGCCCCGAGTAGTTTTTTAGTTCATTGTACATTGAGTGACAAAGTAGTCTTATGGGAGTTATGGCAGCATGAGTCACACAAAGTGTTTCGGAGGGTGAGGTAAACTGATGTGCTCAGGTGCACGCTTCAAAAGCACACTGTGAAGAGTTTTGAAAAGTGGACATGGTATTGAGACAAGTGTGAAAACAATTGTGAAAAACTGTAATAAACAACTCCTAGGGGGGCGTGGGGTTGGGGTCGGAGGTTGACCTTAAATTCACCTGCTCCCCGTTGGCCTCCCTCTCTTTTCCCCTGTCGGGTGATTGGTTGTGACTGGTCAGCAGGCCCGACAAAGCCTGCTTAGCCCTGACTCCCCAACACTAGCAGAGCCAGACCCAACCCGGACACGTGAGCCAGTCACACAGCAGCAGAAACGAGGGGAAGGCGAGCGGCGACGTTTGGCGGGAGACAAATAGCAGCGGAAAAGAAGAGGGAGTAGACAGGCGGGATAAACGAACGAGAAGAGAGCTACAGGAGAGGCAATTTGGAAAAAGCGAGAGGAAGAAGCTAGATAAGGTTGTGATTTGTTGAGAGGACAGAGGGATTATAAGTGTGGTGAGGAGGAGAGATAAGGATAGCAGTGCTTGAGGAGAGGGCCCATGTTAAAAGAGCAGGAGAGAAACAGAGTGGGGAAGAAGTTGGAAGGAACCACAGACACTACAGAGCAGCAGTGAGAGAGTAAGAAAGGGTGGAGAGGAAAGCCGGAGGCAGACAGGCTGGCAGAGGAGAGCTCCCATGCTCACGTGGCGCGATGGAACCGAATCCGACAGCCGTCCGCACTTATTACCAGAAACGGAACAATAGCGAATTAGGTGCATTACCGTGGCTGCTCTCCCCTGAGCCCACGTCACATTGAGCTAGAGGAATTACCATCACTTCAAATGTAAACTATATCACAGATTAACTGAAAGTCATACAGAAATCAACTGTTTTTCTCCAGCAAGTGCTGGAGCTTCCCCTGCACAGCCAGTGGATCAAAGAGTTTCAGCTTAGAAACATGTTATTCTGCTCCCTCCATAACAGTGGTGCAGATTTTCCTCTCTGTCATATTGGGTCAGAGCCAGATCAACTGTTTTTGGTCAGTTTGCTGAATTGCAATTTATTAATCTGTTTCTTGTAATTAGAGTCCAACCGATTTATCGATCTGCCTTTTTTATTGGCCGATATTGGCCTATCACAGATATATACACTGTTGCTCATGAAGTTGGAATAAAATATTTTTTACCTCTTTCCATGAAATGATTGTGACAATGTGATTTATTTCATTTCACCTGGGTAATTGGGACACAATGTAATCATTGCACCTGGTCAAAAGTGATTAATGATGCATTTAAATAGGAATAAACAGAGGATTGTGTCTGAAAACAAAATTATTACAACTTTATGGGCAACAGTGTATAGTGTGTATATATATATATATATATATAAAAATATTATTTATATTAAATTATTAAATTATTATAATTCTCAGTTAAGTTTACTATTTCAGTGCACTGATGTCATTTTGGACAATAAAGTTTATTGTTAAACTGTAAAATACTTTCATTACAAAGTGTTTATATACGTATATCGGCCAATATACCGATATCAAAATTTTTTTAAGGTATCGGGATCTGCCCCATCAGTCGGGCTCTACTTGTAATTATATCTTTTTTTTTAATCTGCAATTGCAGCAAGCTGCTGTGTAAAGGTTACAATGTGCTAACATGAAGCTGGCTCAGGAAGCCACGCTACACTTAGTCAACACAACAGACAGGATGGGACAACAACACTCATGAGCCAGCTGGACAAGAAGGTGAGCCGAGACTTCACTGGACTCGATCTGAGATGACAACAAGGTGTGGACAGACAGACTCAACGCAAAACACTGCACACATTCAAATCCATGTGCCAACACAGATGTTCGGACTCCTAACCTGTATGAGCACACGCACAGACACACAAACACACGCACACACACACACACACACACATACAACACAAACAGTATGATGCAGTGAAGGAGTGAAGTCATGGGAAGGTGAACTTACGATGGCTTGCATGTTCAATAGAAATCTTTTTATCTGTTTGAACAGGAGACAAAACAAGAGAAGAAGAAAAGAAAAAAAAAACACAAAACATAAAAATGGATGGACTACTCGTTATGCAAATGAAAGATGCAACAACATAATACAAAGCAAAGTAAACAATAGCTCATCAATTTGAAAAATGTGAATGTAAACATAAAAGGCGAACTGCGAGAAAGAATAAATACATAACATCTAAAACAACAATAGCGTCTCTTCTGGAAACGTGTCAGGAATCAGGTTCAGCATAATCGTCTGCACAATGTAAAGGATGCAGGTGTTGTGTGGTGTCACTGATTGATCTGATAAATTTCGAGACCTTCTTTCAGGACTGTGTCTCCTACTACATCTCAAACCAAACAGCCCTCATCTTTCCCCAGCTTCATCAAAACACCAAATGGTCTCCTCGAGTCTCCCGTTCAGCCAGTGGCTATTAGAATCTCCCATGATGCAGTGAGGATGATGGTTTGTGATGTCTCCGAGCATTTTACATTTATGACTGGGGTATTTAGCCGATTCTCAGAGGGATTAACAATGAGCGAGCATCTGTTGTCTGATGTGAGGAATGAAAGGAGTCATAATGCCATCATGATACTTGTGACCACGGAATAATCATATCAACATGGTGGGAAAATAAATAAGTCAGTCAGTCCCCTGCAGTTTGCCGAATGACACCTTCACAGATTTTCTCCAGCACAGTGCTTCCCATCTTCCCTCCTCTGTCAGAGCGACTTGAGTGCATGTTTTGCTGACGGCCTCCTGAGAACGCTCAGCTCTCCACAGCCAAATCAGACAGTGTATTTGTCTAATCTGGCTGCTCCGTGGAAGCCTGTTTATGTCAAGATTCGCATGTAGGTCTGATAGAGTTGAAGCACAGCGCTGCACTTAATGTGGATATGATCCCCCCCCCCCTCGCACTTGCATTTACGAGGCTTGTCTGTATGCTCGGGCGTGTTGCTTTGTGCCTTGTGTGCGTGTGTGTGTGTGTTTTTTTTTTATTTATTTATTTTTTTTTATGTGTGCACTTGAACGTATCTCGCTGCCTCTGTGGATGTGCGTCTCTAAGATTCTAATGCGCTGTCAGCTGGATTCCTCCCAGCTCATCACGGGCTGCACACTGGGTGTCAGTGCGAGTCTGACTCACTCTCATATGCTCTTCTCTGTGCTAATTTTTCAACTTGGCCGTGTCATGCTTACTTCCCACTCCATGCACTCCCCTAGCGTGCACTTGCTTCTATCTGTATTCCTCTCTCTCTCCATCTGTGCTTTTAAAGATGTGGATCACTTGCCTTCTCTCTTTGTGAACCTAAATTCTCCCTCATGAAACATCTGTCCAAGATGTTCTTTTCAGCTCTCTCTATGTCATTTGCGCTCTCATCAAGCTACAATGGCTAAACACCCTTGAAATATAGTTCTGTACAATGGCTTTGAAATAAAATACACCCTATAAAAATGAGCAATGAGCAAAGAAATCTCTGACTGCAAGGTTTGCTATTATCAATTCCAAAACCACCTGAGGCAGCAAATAGGCTGTTAGGGAACTGACCCCTATAGAAACCTCAGAAACACCACTTTCCTTCAGATATTAGACGGCTCAACTATCTGCACTGGTGAACTAAATCTCACAGATGCTGATCTGTACTGACCAAGTGAAGAATTAGGATGCATTACATCAGGAAATATAAATCAGCCAAATATTTACTCTCTTTTGACATTTAACAACCACCCCAGCTCAAATACATTGATCTTGTGACTTACTTCGTGTACACAGCCCTTCAGTGCAGTTTTTGCTCTCCATCATGCTGCCGCTGCAGTGCTTTCCTCCGTTCATGGGTGGGGGGGCTTGGCACTCGCGACTGCGCCAGTGGGTGCACTCTGTCCCGCAGGCGGACCACTTTGCCCACTCTGTCCAGCCTCCATCCACTGGAACGAGACAGCGGAGATGTGAGTCATTTTATAGCTCAATACTTGCATCACTCCAGGTAGAAGGGAACTGGGTATGGCATTATAATGCAGCATGATGCATACTGTATGTAATGGCTTGAGGTGCATGATTTTGCAATTTGCAAAATACATTCTGAAATTTGAGAAGTTTAAATGACTTTGGAGTCAGGATGGTCTGACACCTGGTCTGTGAAGCAGTAAGACCCAGAACAGTGTGTGACAGTAAATCATAACTGTGTTCCTGATGTACACAACTTCACAGTTACATGATGAAATGACCATATGTTATTCTGTCCTGGCTTCGGTTTTAAAATTCTGCTCCTAGCAAAACGGTCCGTTTGGGAAATCTCCCGATATTCCAGTGCATGTGTGCTTCATCTGAACATGTAAATAATACAGATGTTCACCTGGGCACAGTGTGGTGCAGGTCACTCTCTGGAAGGGCGGACCCTCGCAGAAGGCTCCTCCATTCAGAGGGGCGGGATTGGTGCAGCTGCGTGTTCGTCGCTGCCAACCCCGCCCGCACTGAGCATTACACTGTGACCATTCAGTCCAAGAAGACCAACCTCCGCTCACTGACAGAGAGACAGATGGGCAAAGATTAATAGACCAATCCACCAAAATCTCCCAGAAACCAACACTTCATAGTTCTGCATCATAGCGAACATCTGTCATGAATAGCAGGAGGTTTAGCTTCACGAGTGAGCTGTGAGGAAAAAACACATGTGTTACCATAAACAATGAGTGTGGCGGTGCTGCTGCGTCTTTTGGCCACCACGTTACGAGCCACACAGGTGTAGTTGGCGGTGTCTAAGAGTCTGGCCTGTTTGATAATCAGATCATGATCGATGGTGATCAGGAAGTTGGAATCCTGTGACGGATCGATGACATCCTCGTTCTTCAGCCAGTCCACCTGCGGAGAAGCGGGAATAGACACACACACACACACACACACACACACACACACACACACACACACACACACACACCACTGGTATAAAAAATCAAGAACTTTGTTAAAAGAATTTAATTTAAAACTCTCACTCCCTTTAATTCTTTTGGCAGATATTTCTTCACATAAATCATCGTACAAATCAGCAGGTGTGTATGCATAAACATGAGTCAGCACGCCACACACAGACCCTTTCAGCAAACACTATAAACCTGCAGAATATTAAGCCATAGCAACACGCTTCACACAGTGACTTCGCTATTGATCAGACATTGTCAATATTTGATCTTTCTCAGGTTCGAAAAATATCATCTGTGGCTTCTTTTGGCCAAACTCTCTTTTATTATTGACATTTCCTCCTCATCACTGAAGGACACAACATAACATATCAAACAACCACAAATAATACAATTAGGAATTACTGTGAAACTAAATGCTCTCCTGTGATCACATATCATGCTTTTACGCTTTCACACTATGTACTTTTTATCTCACATAATAACTCTGCTATTAAGCCACTAAAAAGGCAGAACATAAATATTTACAAAGTCATAAAAATCACACATTTCTGAATAATTTGTTTTCTTTTTTAATATATTGTTGCACTGCTGTTTTATGAGAGAAGTAAAACTGTCTGATGCAGGGCCGTACAGTTAGAGCAGCTCAGTGTGAAAACATGACATTAAGTGGATTTAAGTGCAGCCTTTTTCTTTTTTTGGCTTTGTTGCTTAAATAACTAAGAACATTATTACTGATCATTCTTTGATGGTGCCACGTAGCTGAAGAGACTTAAATCTCTCAAACTTCAGTGTCTTGCCCTTTACTTTGCTCCCTTTTTCTTTATGTTGTTGCAGACTGTAGAGCGTAAATTTGTGTGATTGATTATTGATCAGTTAGATCTCTGCTGTCTCGTGGACTTGCGACACACCACAAAATCTAAACGTATTTGAACTATTTATTACCCATCAGAAATCAAAAACACAAATTTTAACCCCAGAGGAAAGACTATCACATGAGATGGTCAGGTGATGAGAGCGAGATCTACCTCAGCGGCGGGCATGCCCTCCGGGGGGCGACACTGCAGCAGCACCTCCTGCTCGAGTCGCACCTCCCGCCCCAGCGGCTCCTGTTCAAAGTTCTTCCTCAGGTCTACAGTGGGTGACACAGATGTAGTCAGCAATTAGTGAAGGCTGCCTCATGACAGCAGAGTGACACCCTGTTTATCTTAGTGACACTGGTTGTCACAAAAACACAGAGACACACACACACACACACACACACACACACACACACACACACGCACCAGACAAAGCCCCAAAAAGTCTCTGTCACTCTGTCGCTTTTTTTTTTTTTCCTTCATATCCTCATAAACATGCACAGTGTCAATCACACTATGCCACACATTACCACAGGGGACTGAGATGGAGTGCTACAGCAAAATGTATTTGCATATATACTTAAGCTGACACATGTGACAAGAAAAAAAGTCAGAGACATTTGCCCTTCTGCTGTCTCTCTTTCTTCCTTGCTTTCTGTCTCTCTCTCTTTCTCTCTCTCTCTCTCTCTCTGTCACACGAACACACACACACACACACGCTCACACATGCACACGGCCTTGATACTGACATGCGATGCGAACGTAGGCACGGTTGCTCTTGGTGGTGCCAGCCGAGCTCCAGGCCACACACTGGCACCAGTAGTCCTCCAGCCCAAACAGCTCCTCCACCTGGGTCCTCGACACTGAGATGTCCACCTCCCTCACCACCAGACCTGTGCAGAGAGAGGGGGAGCGAGCGAGAGAGAGAGAGAGAGAGAGAGAGAGAGAGAGAGAGAGAGGAGTGAGGCATATTTTTCACAGTGCATAAAAACAATGCATTGGCTGCAGGCCAAAAGCAGTTAATGTGCAAATAAAAACCCTATAGGAGCTAATGGATTATGTAGTTGAAAATGATGCTTCTAATTGAGTATGATGTTTATGTTTGTGAAATACAAGGTGACATTACTGTGTGTGTGTGTGTGTGTGTGTGTGTGTGTGTGTGTGTGTGTGTGTGTGTGTGTGTGTGTGTGTGTGTGTGTGTGTGTGTAGATGTGTTCCCAGTGCATCTCTGTGTGTGTGTATGTATTACCTGTGATCTGGTCCAGGCTCTCTCTGGTGATGTGATCGTTCTGATTGACCCATTCTCCGTTGCATTTGAAGTAGATCTGCGTGGCCGGTGACGCCCGGCACCGCAGCTGGACCGGCCGATTCTTTACGATAAAAGCGTCCTCCGGTTCCAGCAGGAATTCTGGGAGAGGCTCTGCCGGCGCTGACGGGAAGGAGTCGGGGAGGACCTCGGCCTCGCTGTAGTCGCTGCTCTCTGAAAACACAGAACACAGAAGTGATTCAGGTGATTGACCTGAGTTAAAGCGCTTCCCTGCTACCGGAGCATTGCAAAGTTTCCATCAGTTTTTGGGGGGATCCTCCGCTCTGACCTTCCTGTCGGGGAGGTAAGAAATAAACAAAATGACAAATTCATCCCATGGGGATCAATAAGCTATCACATAACTAGAGGGAGGACATGTGTGTGTGTGACAGCTTGTCTCAATCCACCTTTGGGGCATGTATGGACAATTCTGTCAACAGAATTCTGTCTGTTTGACTGTTTACATTAAGGCAGCCCTGTTAGTGTATTTCACCAAGACATTTAAGGTGCTGACAGCTCGAACTATAAATGGAGTGTCACCGTGACATTATTGCCAGTAATCTGGTCAATGCAAGCCTCCTGCTCTGGTCTCCCTGGATGAGTCCATGCCTCTCAGCTGGGAGGAGAGCTGCTGACCTTCCACGGACAGGTCCCGTTGATCGCACATTATCCCCTGACATTTCCGATGTGACACATCCCTCCTGGCAATGCTGCAAAGAGCTTCTCCTGGCAGGAAGGACACGATATTTGTGACCTCTTCACTCGGACTTGTTACTCTGATAGTGACGGATAGATCTCAGGCAGTACATCAATCCTGCAATGTTATTGGTTACCACTTCTTTCCCAGCAGTGGACAGATTTATGTGTCTGCAATGATACCTTAGCTATGTACTACATTGTTTTTTTAAAAATTCCTGGGTCAGCACATTTGCTGTACACACATTAAAGCCCTTTGAGACAAATGTGTGATTTTGGTCTGTGTAAATAAAACTGACTTGACAGTTTCAAGCGTATTATAATGATGTTAAATGATATAACGACTTCAACTGTCAAACACATAACATCACCTATCGTTAATCATTTTCTCCAGCTGTTGGTGCTGGCGTCGGACTCAAACATTCTGTGTCAGTCAGACTCGTCTGTTTACAGGGCTGCAGGGCGGCAGACTATGATGCAAGCTCAGCCACAACTCGTGTATATCCATCAGCTGGATTGTATCATTGTGTACTTGGGCACAAACACTGAAGCACAGACTAAGAATAAACATTGTCCACAGTGTAGATATAATGACCGGCCTGAATCCTGACACATCTATCAAGCACACTTTGTTAAGGTGTGTTACAAAAACCAATAAATTGAAATGTTCTCTCTCTTTGTTTGCAGTGCAACTATCAAACTCTTATCATCACTTTCTGACTTTCTCTTTCAGGTAAATTCAAGTTCTTATAAATTGTTAATGGGTCTGACCTTCCAATAGAAAACTTTGTTCTGCTTACGAAAATGATCTGAATTCAATATGCATTAAATGGAAGACTGGAGCGGAGTGCAGGGGATTGACGGGGTCGACTCGGCTCCAGTCAGGAGATGCCAAAACGGTAAGGGCATATCCAGCCCAGTGCACTTTCCTCCCTGCACACACACACACTTACACACACACACACACTTACACACACACACTTACACACACACACTTACACACACNCACACACACACACACACACACACACACACACACACACACACACACACACACACACACACACACACACACACACACAGTTGAACACAGCTCATGGGTAATTGTGCTTTTCTTACACAGCAGTCTCACAGTACTACAGTTTTTAAATCTCACTCTCTACATTCAGTGGGTAAAGAAAAAAGAGGTTTGAGGGCAGGAGCAGCGGCTTTTCCACGCCGAGATTTAAACCGGGCTAATTTGCAGTGTTCAGTTTTCAAAATGAATCGAGCCCAACTTGATCATTTATGCCACAACCAGGGAACAAGAGAAACTACTTAGAAAGATACCATCTCCTATTTTAGGAACACGAGCACTTCCCCACCCCACCCCCCATCCCGCTGTTCCCCTTGACAGATTCTGTCTGAGACATTAGGGGAAAGCAAAGAGGAACACAGAAGCATGAAGGAAGTGGGAGAGAAAGTTGTGGCAGGATTCAAACCAGTAGAAATTCAAGAGGCCTGTACCGTCTTCAGGTGTGGGCATCTCTTGACCCAAACCTCCTCCACCACGAAAGGGCCAGCGGGGACAGACGAGTCTGAGGCAGCACTGCCCACAGCTCAGAGCCTGGTAGCGCTGTGGCTACAGGACAGACAGAAAGGGCAACAGCTGCTCCAGGCCCAACAGCCATCCTGGACGGACCTGTCACCCTCTGTCTGTCTCTGCCTCCCTCCAGTCCATCACTCTCACACATGCATCCTTGTTCTTCTGCAGTCACTTCTCCTACCGTCGACTACATTTATTCACTAACCCGTGACCCCTAACTGAACCCTCAACGCTGCACACTCCCCCCCCCCCCCCCCCCCCCCCCCGGNNCCACCTACGCTGTGCAGTAAAGAAAAACTTCTTGTGGTGATGATTATAGATATAAGAATCTTGTAAATTTCAGAAAAGAAAGTTATTTTTCTTGCACTGGGAGGGTTTACTGTTTTTCACCTCCCACCTCCTCCCTTCTCCTTTCCATTGTTGGATTTCTGATAGATATGCAGCAAAAATAGATGCAAAAAACAAACTTACCCAGTTACAAAAGCAAATCATTTCTCATCAGCTGGATAAACCAATGACAGATGACGATCAAATCTAAAGTTATGACACTCCGCTAACTGCCTTTTTTATTGACTTGATTTGCTCTTTTTTTACCCCGTCAGATCTTTTTTTGTTAAAGACGGTGCCGTGCGATGTTTTATTCCCTGGCTTCTCCACCTCAACATATCACTTTATGAATGTTGTGATATCTCACACTGGGAATTTCAGGGGAATCTCAAGTATACAAACATTTAATATGACAAGGTCACACTTTCAGAAATTGTGGAGACGTGTGTGACACATGATTTTCTGTAATTAACTGTGCAGCCTTTCTAAAACTCAGACTGACAGTAGTTGTCGCACCGGTCCCGTCTTAAATTCCTGTGATCTCTCTGATTGCATTTGTTTTACATGGGGGTTCTGTATATTATAAAATGCTGTATTTGTCTCTGTTTTGATGGATGAACAAAAAAAAAAACCTAAATTTTACTTTTGCTCTACACCTTGCAAACACAAGGACAACATCATGCTAAATTCTGTCACTGACACACATGAGAAACACAGGGAGAGCTCAGAGCAGGACAACAGAACAATAATAAACACAAAAACATGCACATGAATCCATGCATACACACTCACAACGTACACACACTTGTTCCTGCACCCACAGGTCACACCCTGTCAGGATCCTCACTTTATGTCACTTACACACACTCAATTAACCACCTACTACACTGTAAGTGGGTATTCACGCAGGTAAAGACAAGCAAGTATGAATAATGAAAGTTAACACATCTCAAAGTCATGCTTAACCATGAGCATGAATCGCATTCATCGTCGTGCCTCTCTCACAATCCTCTCCTCCCCGTCTTGTGTTTTTCTCTCTCCTCACATCCCCTTACCCTCCTCTTACGAAGCTGTCGCCTCCAGTCTTTCAGACTTTGAATTCTCTGTCAATAACCAATTGTGTTGCCCCTCCCCACCCCTCACCCCCGCTCTTTCCCTTTGTCCGGCATTGATCGCTCGGTGTTCAAACATCGGCTGAAAAACACAGCCTGTCACTCTTCAGGCGCGATGAGAGGGGGGCACAGAGAGAGAGAGAGAGAGAGAGAGAGAGAGAGAGAGAGAGGGAAGGAAGGAAGGCAGAGGAGAAATGGCAGCAGAGATGCTTCAGACGGAGAGAGAATGGGAGGAGAGCCCTGCATATTTGGGTAAACCTCTCTCTCTCTGTGCAGAGTGTGTGTGTGTATGTGTGTGTGTTCTGGGGCCTGTGCAATTTAATTAAAACACTTTTGCATGACAGAGGTAGGAGACAAACAGACAGACCCCCCCATCCCCCACCCCCCACCCTCCTTCCCCGTCTCCCTCTGAGATAATGGAGCTGGGGGTTTAAAGTGGAACCTGTGTTTTTGGGCCAGCGTACAAACATCCATCAGAACTCAGCAGCTGGCAATTTGTGCAGAATGGAGGAGCCTCAGAGACAAGAACTCCTCGCCGTGCAGCACAGCAAGTCTTTTATTACTCTAATGATAGACAGCAGACAGCTAGAAAGCAAACACAAGCTTCTGGGTATTCTTTTGTGGAGCATACAATCACACAAACACACATACACACACACACACACACACACACACACTCACATAGACCCAGACACGAGATGACAACCTATGCTTATACAGTACGTTCTCACCGACTCTTTTTTTCATGCATGCTAAATTCAAATGGTGTAACTGAAGGAGATCCCTCCGTCGGTGACTGTGCGGCTGGAGTAGGAGTAGGCTCACTACAGTGTAACTGAGAGTCAGAGTGACAGTGGTGGAGCGAGGCCACACTAGAAGGCAATAATGCGTGGGAGAGAGAGAGGGAGAGAGGGAAGCTGGACAAAGGTGACAAGATGGGAAGACAGGAGCGCTGGCCAAAGACAGGTCAAGAGACACTTGGAGACAAGAGAGATGACGCAGTAGACACAAAGTGCACACACACACACGCACACACACACACATAATACCGGACTGCTATAATTGGCGAGGAACATAAATCACAGCAATGTCTGTCTGTCTCAAGTGTGACTGAAACTGTCTCTGTTGTTCTTTCGGTGACCTGTCTGTCTCCACCCTCTGTTTTCTCTTGCCTCTCATTCTTTCTCTTTTACAAACACACACACACACACACGGACAACTGTAATTTTCTTAGCCCCAGCGCCTCCAGCCTGAGCAGAGTCTAAAGCGTCTGTACTTTATCATTACCTTTACAGAGTTAGTCATTACTGTCCCCTCCAGTGCCCTCACTATCCCAACACTGCTCTCAGAAGTGGGAGAGAAAAGAGCAAGAGAGAATAATGCATAGAAAGAGGAAGAATACTTTTAAGCAGCCAAACAACAGAGAAACACTGTAAGAGACACGGGGACGAGCTGTGTTTGGCAAGATCAGGAATCTCTTTTTTTTTTTTCTTTCTTTCTTTTTTCTGCGTCCTATGAGGTCAAAAACAAACAAATAACAGCCCAGCGTCCCACCTCCTCCCATCCACTTTCCAGTTTGGTGTCTGACATGGGAGTGCTTTTCTTCTTGCCCTCCCCTGACTCCAATCCTCCTGCCTGCTAGATTCAAAGCACTTTGTGCAGCTCCAGTCGACTTCAAATGACATCCAGCCTTAAATGCAAACATACACGCATAGAGAAAGAGCTATGGCCCAGAGCTATGAAGCACAACCGGCTTGCTGCGCCCACTAAGGACAAACAGCTGTGAGGACAGACAGTCAAATATGACAATGCCGCTGGTAGAGGAAACAAGGCCAATAAATAGAGTGATCAGCAGCCATTATGCAACATTGACTGGCTTACCATATATCCATCATCCTCACCCAATTTACCTCATTATCATCATTCTTGCGAGGAAGCCCCGGGGTGGAGTTGCGCACGCCACGCACACACACACAGAGCCAGGTCGAAAGAGACAGAGATGGATGGAGGGAGACAGTCTCTCCTTGCCTTCCTTAAAGGACAATTACATTGAGTGATTGATATTCAGACTGACCTCATCCTCATCAGCCTGAAAACAACTCGCTACACGAGGAGAGAGAAGAACCAGGCGAGTGACGGAAAAGATGAAGTGCAGAGACGTGCGATTTCGACGTTTGATGGAAAATCATTGAATGTGTGAGCAGGATAGTGCGCGCGTGTGTGTGTATGTGTGTGTGTGTGTGTGTGCCTGTGCTGGCATCAGGCAGGGCATGAGGCGACATGAATGCAGGTTGGAGCGACACTTCTCTCATCAACAAAGGCAGACGGAGTGTGAGGAGTCATGCAGTTCACCCATCTGACTGAACACACACACACACACACACACACACACACACACACACACACACACACACACACACACACACACACACACTGGTGCAGACACTTACAGTAGCAACCCTTTTGAGCCCAGACGGGGGTAAAATTGGTCATCTTTTAATAGGGAATGTCGTTAATTCACCAGTGACTAACAAACACCATTATTTTCATTTCTTTGTGGTAGCTGTGAGGCAACAGGAGGCAGGAAGCAGAATTTGATGTCCCGCTAAGAGGGACACAGATCCGACTCTGTGTGCTCTCTCACAAAGCCTTCGACACGTCGGCCTTGAAAGTTCTTGTTTGGATATTTTGATCCTACCACCAAGATGTGCACCTGCAGCGGCTCCACATGGCTCTACAGCCTGTTTCTTTGTACTCACCATGGTGACTCTCTAACAGACTTCATCTCTCATACAGACAGGCACACACATTCCTCTTCTGGTCCTCCTTGATTCTTACTTACCTTCTTTCTCTGCCAGTGGCTCTTTAAGTTTTTTTATTCACTCTTACTAGCAACTGCCAAGGCCTTTTATTTTTTAAACAAGACCCATAAGCTGCAGACTGAGAAGACCAAATGATATCAAACAATATCAGTTTCATCTTTGTGTTTTCAGCACAGCAACAAGTCCAAGACATGTTAGCCTAGCTTGACACAAATAGTGAAAACAAGAGAAATGCAACTAAGCTAGCTATATCAAAAGAAGACAAAAAAACTCAACATATGTTATCTTTTGTAATCAACAGTTAGTTACAGTTTTTAATCTTTTTCTTGAAGAATCTGTTGTACGTCTCAAAAGTATGTTATTGTGGAGCTGCTGCATTTCTCTACATAATTAACCGCTTGTCATTAGCTAGTAAGCGCAACAGATGCTGCTGTATGAAGCTAGTTCGTCAATACACAAAACATCTGCACTATGTATAGACATCAACGTTGTATTTTTTGTATTATTTTAAAAATGTGTTAATTACATAACACCAAAAATAAGATACTATGAGCTATGCTAGCTGCTATCTTCCTCTCACATATGGACCATATGGCTAGGTGGACACATCCAAGACCATTTGTTTTATTGGAAATACATGTGAAAGTGTTGACTTCCCGACAATGACTTCAGGCACAGCAGGGCACAAACACATGTTGCTTTTGTACTCTTTCCCTATTATCCTAGCCAAATACTGTCAAGAGTCACATACATGTAATCATGTTTGTTACGGGAA